TCCACCTACCCTCACATCTCCTACAACATCCCTAACAGCTGGTTCTTAAGTCTGTGTTCGCACACTTCCATTGACAATAGCTCACTGCACCCCGAAGGCAGCCCATTCTTTTTTTCTACAACCTTGATTGTTAGAAATATTTGGAACTGAAATCTGTCTCCTTTGTGATTTCCACCCACTGGTCCTGGCTATGTCCTCTGGCTCAGTCATCTTCCAAATTATAGCACCTCAAGTATCGTGGTCCCAAGTGAACCTGCTCTTCTTCAGTTTACACCTTCGTGGTGCAGGTGGGTGGCGCAGTGGATAGAGCACCAGCCCTGGAGTCAGGAGGACCTGAGTTCAAATGTGGCCTCAGACAAATAAAAAAAACCTCACTAGCTGTGTGACTCTGGGCAAGTCACTTAACCCCAATTGCCCTCACCAAAACAAACAAACAAACAAAAAATAAACCAGATTAAACCTTCACTAAACTGTTCAGTCATTGTTCGTGTGACATGTTTTTAGACTCTTGACCATCTTGGTTGTCTTTCTCTGGACATATGCTGGTCTCATTTGCCTTTTTGAAATGAGATGCCCAGAATTAACACAATATTCCAGCAGTGTTGTGGTCTAGCTAGCAGAGTATGATTACTTCCCTTCTGCATACCAGTTCTCCTTTTCTCATTTAAAAAAATTATGACTTTCATTTTTACAACCCAAAATTTCTTCCTCTCCCATCCAAAGAGCCATTTCATAAAACAATAAAAAAAAAAGTTCATTTGAACTAAACAGTAAATTAATCAAGTCCAACAAATATATTCAGTGTTTCCTATTCTTATTCTAGAAAAGAGAGATGTGTTTTCTCATATCTTTTTCAGGGCCAAATTTGCTTATCGTAATTACACAAATGCTAATTCTTTTCATGTGGTTTAACTTTTTGGCCACTGAGTTGAATTGCTGGTTCATCTTAAATCCTAGCTGTGACACTTTTCAGCCGTATAACCCTCAGCAATTCACTTCCCATCTCTGAAACTCACTTTTTCTTATCTGTAAGATGGTGATAACAATAACCTGATAATAATCAGAGGATTGTTATGAACAAAGTGCTTTATAAGCACTTTAAGTACTGTAGGAATGTGAACTCTTATTATGGAGCTTGCTGTTAACTCAAACTCAAGAATTTTATACTTCTGTACTTGGATAATTAACTTTTTCAAACTAGATACAAGACTACCAAAAAAACAACTAAGTGTTATGATGGATATTTGGTTAGAGAAACAAGCAAGTTTTAGGGAGTTTTCATCCTGTAACAGGCGTTTCTGGATAAAGAAGGCAAGGAAGCATTGGGGCCCAAATGAGGCCCACTTAACCTAACTGAAGGAAAAGCTATTTTCTGACAGACTTTGTGCTTCAGAGTAGTTGTTGTTATTATCATATTCTCTGCCCAGAATCTCCACCAGTTTTCACAAATGGCATTCAAACAAACCAAAACACCCATATTTCCCCTATCTACCTCCTAAAGCAAACGTGTTTTCTAAAAGTTTTGAGCTTCCTGGCTCACATCTAAATTTTCTTTCTTCCTTCCTGGCTTTATGGGCCTTGACTTTCAATAGTACTGCAAGTGAAGTTATTAGTCACAGGAGATACTTTTAACAATTAAAATGCCAGATCAAATTAAATAGGACAGTTGTTTAAACACATTGGCCCCCTCTGCCCTCAACCATCTGTTGATGATCTGTACAGACGAATGTCCGAGACAGTGTCAGAGCATTTTTATTAATTTTTTGGTCCTGACCTATGGTTCCATACAAATAAAAAAATTAATGTAGGGCACTAGGATGTTAGGGCACTGACAGATTCACAATGCTAGTGTGTGTTAAAGGCAGGACTTAAACCCAGGCCTTCCTGACTCCTAAGACCGTCCATCTATCCCATATACCATCGTTCCTCTCTTTGAGTGCCCATAATCTTTGGAAATCCAGAGCCATTATTGGTGGATTCATTTTTTGTATTCCTATGACTTTTAATTGTACTGACTTGTATTGACCTCTCTCAGGAGCTCCAGGCTCAGCATCTCTTAACTGCTGATTGAACATTTTCCACCTGGGTGCCCTCTAATTTAACATGTTAAAAAACAGAAATCATCTTTTCCCAAAAATGTATTCTTCCAGACTTCTCTGCTTCTTTTTCCTTTTTTTTTCAATGAATAAAAATCTATTTTCTCTCCCTTTTTCTCCCCAAGTTGGGAAAAAAGGAAAACAAAACCCTTGTAACAAAGATACATAATCAGATAAAATAAATTCCCAAATTGGCCATGTCCAAACAGCATGTGTCTCAGTCTGAACCCTGAGTCCATCACCTCTCTTTGCAGGTAACTTGCTTCATCGAGTACCATGGAATTGTGATTAGTCATTATGTTGTGTTCTTGGATCTTTCAAAGTTGTTTGAATTTATAGTGTTATGGAATAAATTGTTCAGGTTCTGTTCATTTCACCCTGATCAATTCATAGAAGTCTTCCCAGATTTCTCTGAGTCTCCCCCTTTTATGATTTCTTATAGCACAAAAGTATTCCGGATTAGTCTCATACCATAATTTGTTCAGCCATCCCTTAGTTGATGGATACCTTCCAATTCTTTGTCATCACAAAAAGCTGCTATATATATATGGTCCTCCATCTTGCTTTGATCTCTTTGGGATATGATTCTACTAATGGTAGCACTTGACGAAAAGGTGCGAACAATTTAGTCACTATACATAGGCATAGTTCCAATCAGTTTACAACTCCATCAACAGTACAGTGCATTGGCATCCCTGTTTTCCCTCCCATGTTTGTCATAGTCTCTTTTTTGGGGCAGCTCTGTCAGTCTGATGGGGGCAAAGTGGAACATCAAAGACGTTTTAATTTGTACTTCTCTGTTAAGGATTTTCATATGGCTATTGATTTCTGCCTGCCTGATCATATTCTGAATATTTGTCAGGTGGAGAATCTTCCCTTTTTCTTTTAATGGCTCCATAATGTCCTGGTGTCCCACATTTGAAGCGTACATTTAAGTCTAGTAAATTCCATCAGATATTTAAATCAACATTTTGACCTATAGATTGTTTTAGATTCTAACCGTCATCTGTTATGTTATCATTCCCTCCCAGCTCTGTCATCTGTACATTTTATGGTGATGTACAAATGCCTTCAATCCGAGTCATCGATTAAAAAATATTAAAATAGCACAGAACCAAGAGCAGGTTCCTAGGGTCCTCCACAAGAGAGACAGACTTCCAAGTTGATATTGAACCATGAATGACTTCTTTGGGTCTAGCGGAATAGTCGTAAGCAGCAAGGCAGGATCCCAGTACTGAAACTAGGGTAGACTACAGAACCTGAGACGCCTTCCGGCTCTAAGAATCAGTGATTCTGTGACAGTCAAAAGAGTACCCTCATAGTGAGGCTAACTTCATGCTGAGTTAGCTAAACGGTGAATTCTTGTATCCTCATATTTATCCTGCATGGGAATTGGCTTCCAACTCCAGGTAGGTCTCCTAGTTAAATGGCTCCAGTGATGGGGACCAGACCTTGCAGGACCAGGGATCTAACTAGGGTCATGACAGTGCAAAGTTGACTACCTTCCTCTTTCACTCTGGTTTAATGAATTCTCTGTTACTTTCTTTTCTTAATACTTATTAAGATAAAGTATTTGGGAGGGAGGCAGTTTTAGGGATAGGTACATGTGTGGTTGGAAGAATTTAAGGTTCTAGTGTTCAGCTTGTCATTTGACTTAAACTTCTTTGGGACCATAAGAAGTACTGGAATTTGGAGTGGAGGCCTTCCCTCAGATTGAAAGCATGAGTTTCCTAGATGAGAGAAGGTTTCATTTATGCATTGTTTTGCAGATTCATAACACACTTACCTCACAAGCTAAGTTCACAATGTGACCTCTGTACCCAGCCATGGCTTACTCTATGCTTCCTTGTCATTACTGCTCTCAAAGAGAAAATGTGTAGTTATAGTAACTGTTTAATTTCCTTTAGTTGATACTGTATCAGAATATGCAACATTGCCCCAATAAAGGCCTAGTGAAAAAGAGATTTGACTTTTATGTAAATTATCACCAAAAAAGTAAGGGTACATATAAGCCTGTTACCCTGACCTAGTTCAGAGAAGATGTCCTAAAATAAAAATAGAAATTATAAGGTATACTGAAATAGAGATCAATATTTCTTGTTTGTGCCATAGTTATTGGCACTTCCTCCCCTCCCAGCCCCCAACATCATTTTGATCTATTTCCTAAAATTTGCTGGGATGTTTAAATTGGAAAGGGCAGTCAGTATACTTTTCAGTTTTTGAAGCTCCCATTATTTCAGGGCTGACATGTAGAATGTGGCATGAGAAAATAGGTAGAGCATGTAATGCTGGGTTTTTTTAATATCCATTATTCCAAATCTGCTTAGACAAAAATTGATGACCCTAAAATTCTCGAGCAGCTCCTGCAAACTGTCTCTGACAGTTATGTGCCTTTGGCTTCTTGAAGAGAGGAAGGAATGATTTTTAAAGGGCTTTTAGGGCTGGAGGAATTGTTCGCATTATGCTTGATGGTCTCTGTGGTTGAACTCTTCAGTGTACTTTCAATACATTTTCTTACTATTCATATAGTTTAGGCATCATCACATGTTCACTGTCATCCTTGGTATAAATTCATTCTAGAGCCACTGCAGGCTGTGCCTTAGACAAAGGTTTGGCTTAATGGGCTTACTGTGCAAAAGGAGTAGGTAGGACTAGGTTACCTTCTAAGGTCCCTTCCAGCTCTGTGTCTATAACCCCGCAATCCATATTCGGGATGGCATATGACGATCTCCGTAACATAACATTTGCCACATAGGAATGTTCCAGACATTGCTTTCTGAAGGAAAAGAGTGGGGAGGTGGAGCCTGTCTCTTTATATGTAACATTTAGATGATATTAAAACCTCTGCTGGTATCGGAGAACTCACATACATTTTAACAGGCTGATTTTTGTATTTTATTTTAGGATTGCAGGAATTTGATGAACAGCTGGTAGCAGAAGTGTCTGAAAAGCATTTGCACGAGGCATGTCCTGGATCATCCGAGAATGAGGCACCACTACACCTCCTGGCCCCTCTGGCAGACAAGAATGCTAATACGGAAGCTGACCTTGAAATTGGCCAAGTTTCATCAGTGATGCCATTGCTGTTGGATGCTAAGAAGCCTGGGGATATCCCTACAGCAACTTCTGATCAGGATTTGTCCTCAAATGTTTCAGCAGCCCTACAAGAAAACTCAATGACAGAAGACAACATGGGACTGACTCTTGAGGCTTCCAGTGATGCTGAGTCAAAGGCCAAAACCTTGCCTGCAGATTCTGTGTCTAGCAGAAGCAAGCTTAGGAAACCCAAACCAGTCTCTCTAAGAATGAGAACAACTGGAGGAGAATTCTCAGAAACCAATAGTGTTGTAGAGGACCACCCTATCCCCAAAGCATCCTATCAGGTCAATCCAGATGAGCTCGATGAAAACACCAATCCTTTCATGATAGGAGGTTCCAAGATCCCCAATTCTCCTCCTGCAGTGAAACAAACCTTAAGTTCTTCCAATGGAGATGCCAGTGATTCAGGGGTAGAGCTGCTAGAGGAATCCAGGGGCTCACCTTTGAAACTGGAATTTGATATCTCAGATGGCCCAGAGAGCACAGGAGTGAAGAAAACCCTTCCTAGGAAACCTGCACCTGGAGGCAGGAAGATGGTTAGCAAGCTGGCTCTCAGGGCTCAGAAAGATGGAGTTAGCAAGCCAAGCATTGCCAAAGGCTTGGAAAAGCCTTCAGGCCTAGCCGATGAAGAAATTCCCCTCCAAAAAGCCTCCTCTAAAGTAGAGCCCAACCAGGGGGATGACTGCAACTTTAACCCCTTTGGGGGCAGCTCCATTTTGCAGAACTCCCCACCCGTCCCAAAGGGGTCATATCACTTTGACCCAGATAACTTTGATGACTCCATGGATCCCTTTAAGCCTACGAAGACCCTAAGCAACTCTGGGCCAGCTAACTTTTGCTCCTCAGATGGTAATGAAGCTATTGAAATCTTAGAGTCTCAGCTGTGTGAAGTACAGGGTGAGGAGGTGAAGAAAGGGACAGCTTCCCCCAAGAAGGCAAAGTCGCGTTTGATAACGTGAGTGAGGGTGGATGCTGGGGTAGCTTTGTTCTTCAGTCTGTTTTGTGGAGCCTGGCAGCCAGCCATGACTTTTGGTGCTTGTTTAATTTGAGTGAGGTACAGAAGGGACAGAGATGGACGCTTGGAGCTTTAGGCTAAAGGCTTTAGGCTTTCGCCACTTTGCCTAACCTCAGATTAGCCATGAGAGAACGAGAGTCACCAGAGGCATTTTTGTTTCTGAACCCGCGATAGTTCTACATGAACTTTTTTGTCTCCTGCATTTTATTCTGTTAAAAAGAGACTAAGAAGCAACACTAATGATGGGCCCCCGAAACCCTGGGTCATCCATCAGGGATCACTTAGCTTAGTATCTAGCATTAGAATAGTAGCACTGTGCTAGCCCTACGTAGAAGCCTGCCTAAAAGTGATAGCACAGGGGTCTTCCTTAATGTGTCATTTTTGTAAGTGATTGTAAGGGAACAGTTCAGAAAATGGATCAGCTAAATCTAGCTCAGGAAGATTTGCTTGTGTACTAGATTTCTTTTCCCCCTACTGAATCTTGGGCAGTCCTTCCAAGTACCTTTTGAATTATTGGTCTTTGAATATGTAATCCTAGGCCATATCTTTTGTCCAAATCCAACAGTTAACAATTCAACACTTTGTGCCTTAGCCCTGTTTTTCGGAGGTAGTATGCTGGACCTTTGAATCAAGAAATGGAAAGTGGATGACAGAATTAGAAATCAAGTGAGGAAGGGGCAGCTAGGTGGCACAGTGGATAGAGCACTGGCCCTGGAGTCAGGAGGACCTGAGTTCAAATCTATCGTCAGACCCTTGACACTTAATAGCTGTGAGACCCTAGGTGAGTCACTTAACCCCGATTGCCTCACAAAAAAAAGAAAAAAAAAGGGACAGCTAGGTAGCACGGTGGATAGAGCACTGGCCCTGGAGTCAGGAGGACCTGAGTTCAAATCTGGCTTCGGACCAAACACTTGACACTAGCTGTGTGATCCTGGGCAAGTCACTTAACCCCAACTGCCAAAAAACAGAAAACCAAATCAAGTGAGGAGTCACTTCACATTGGTGTGTCTTGATGAGAAATTGCATAGGGAAAACTGGGTGGTAGGAAGGCTTATGCTAGATGTCAAACCCATCCTGGTTCTGTCACAGATGTGCTGTGTGACCAAGTCACTTCGCCTGTATGGGCCAAAGTTTCATTCTTTGTGAAATGAGAGGGTCAGATTTAGACGAGCTGCAATGTTCCTTCTAACTCCCATATTTCTGTAGGCTTGAACTTGGGAGAAGACAGAAGTGTGGGGCAGTCCTGAGGAATCACTCTGTCTCCAATGAAGTAGCCAAATGCCCTGGCCTTGGGCTTAGTGGACTAAATGTCTACGCCCAGTTTCTTTGGCTCTTTTGTCATGCTATTTCTATTGGGTAGTGTAATAGAAACTTCAGGGGACTTGGAAGACAGGAGACCTGACTGTGACATTTATTCGTTTTGTGATTGTTGGCAAGTTCTTTTCTTTGAATTCCAATTCTGTACTATGGGGATAATAATAATTATACTAACTTCTTTACCAAGGTCCTTTCAGTGACCACATGAAGCCATGTAGTACTTTCTGACTGTCAGTTACTGAAGACACCGAGGTTTCTGTAATGCTTCTGACATATGCTTGCTGTGTGGCCTTGGGCAGGGCACTTAACCTTTTCAGGCACCACACAGCTCTCCAATACTAGAAGTTACTGAGTAGTTGCTGATCTCCATTGGCGGGAGGAGTTTCTATGCTGGGAGTTCCTCCAGACTAATGAAATCATAGATCTGGACCAAAAGGAAAAAAATACACACACACACACACACACACACACACACACACACACACACATACATACATACATATAATGTATACATGCATACACATATATGCTATTAGTACTATTTCTTGTTAGGGCCCAGGCCCCAGGATAAATGGCAGGGGAATGGTTAATAAGAGTAATTAATAGTTATTGATATGCTGAAAAAGAGGAAAAATTGGAAGGTTTTTTAGATCGAAGAGAGTGGTCAGTCAGAAGACATCTGTGCCAAAGGGAGAGAAATTTTCACAAATTTTCCCCATGTACTTCTTCCTCAGGAAGTCAGGATACACTTTTCATGTGGTGAGAAATACTAGCCAGCACTTTTTTTCCAATCAGTAGATTTGGATGTCCAATGGCTCTTTTTGATGAATAAACCTCTTAATCAGCTCTCCTAAGGGATGGTTCTCACATCCAGGACACTTAGTCATTTCTTAGAAATTTATCCTATTAAGTAGACTCCTGGCATGTTCTGAAGAGGGAGTGTCATCAACTATGGATAATCATGGAGATTTCTGGTAGAGAAGACCATCCTCTGTATACTGAGCAGTGACTAAATCTGGGTCATTCGTATCTACTTAGTATAGTCTGCTAGAAAGACAGTCAACAGTAGATTGGTTGTCCTGGCTCAGATATTTAAAATCTGTGCGACAGTGGATGGGCAACTTAACCTCTCAGAGCCTCAGTGTTGTTCATCCATACAAGGACAGAGACCCAATATATTTATGTCCTCCCATACTTCGGCATACCTCACAGGGTAGTGAGCAAAGTTCTCTGTAAACCATAGAAGCCACAGAGAAAAAATGAGTCATCTGGCTTAGATTCTGACCATTTGCCATGTGATGCTTAATAAGCTAGATGAAATTTTTATACTTTATATTTGTATTTTGTCTTTTTGTTTCTTTCTGTTATTTAGCTTCAAAGGTAAACTTGGACTAGAGTGATACTGTTGAGGGTCCTGAGGGTTAGAGGCAGCTAGGTGAGACCATAGTGTAGAGCTGAGTTTCAGGTACCAGGTACCCGGAAGAGCTGAGTTCAAATCCAGCCTCAGATAGCTGTGTGAACCTGAGCAAGTCACTTAACCTTCGTCTGTATCAGTTTACTCATCTGTAAAATGAGGGTGGAAATGGCACCTACCTCAGGATTGTCACAAGGATCCAGTGAGATAATGTATCGTTATAACAATATGCATCCAAATACAGGTGGTCATTTGGAAGTTCACTTTATTGCTACAAAGCTATCAGGATAAATTTCATACCTTTGCTAGACTTGGTTTTAGATTGGATGTCCTGATTTTTCTAACTGATCTGTGCAGCACCCAACTTTGTTTCTGTAGAGTTGAGGTTTGTGATAATCATTCATTATCCAAGTGGTAACTAACATCCATGAATTTGGGCATCCTTTAGCTACACCAGACATAACAGAGAGAATTGCATTCTTTTACATCTACCAAGCGAGAGAGAATATCCCAGTCTTTTTACATGATTTTTTTTCTCCATCTGTCTATCTCTCTTTCCTGTCTGTTTTTTATTTTTTATTTTTGGTGCATCAGGACTACTGAACAAGTGAGATTTCTCTGTTTTCTGTTGTAAGTACTTTTCCCATGGTTTCTGTTGGTCCTGGGGTGGTCTGGCTCTCTCTCCTCCTCCCACTGTCCTTCTGCAGCATGTTGGCTTCCGCCTCTGAGTTTAGTCTGATACTGTGTCCTTTGCATTTCAAACTCCACCTCATTAAAAAGCTGAGCCTTGCAATTGTCTGTATGTAAAGGAATGGGAATTGGCCTTCTAGCCTTAGCTGTGTGAGCTTGCTTCCATGGCATGGCACTTGTAACATGTCCTGAAATCGGTTTAAAAAAAAAAAAAGAAAGCTTCTTAATTGCCCCTGAGACGGAGAAGACAGCCATTGTTCGGCCAGCTCTTCTACTGCCCGACACTGGAAGTTCGACTAGCCTTTGTGTAGAGGACAAAATCCTGGATTTTAGAAGTATACATCTCTGCTGAGTCAACTTAGCATGTCTCACAACTTCAGGCAGTAACTTAGGTAACCATGATGGCTCTAGAGAGAGCAGAGCCCTGGAAATGCAGATTTTGCATGTCAGTCAAGTACATTCTAACAGTTATGTGTACATTGGGTATGTCATTTAAGTGAAATAAAAAGGTTTTTAAAAATCAGATGTATCCTTTTTTTTTCTGATATAGAAATATAGAAGCCTAATGAGATTGTCCAACAGCATAATCCTGTGCTTTCTCAAAATAGCAAGTGCCATATTAAATTGTTTTCAGTTTCCCCAGTTCTGGCTGTACACAGGACATAGTGTTCGTCATCTGTCTTGTTACTAATAGAACATGAATGGTTTTATATCAGGCTGCTCCAATATTTTTACTGTTGTGCTGTCTGTTGACTATAATTCTCCTTCTTTGGTTAGTAAGTGGAGCGACGCTCAATTTTCTTGCTTGAGTTACTTCTAAGGAATTTGCTAAGCAATAATTTACATAGAACTTGTTTGAGAGTCATATTTTCTGATCAGTGTCAAAATCTCATTCGTTAGAAGCTGGAAAAACTAACTTCTCCAGGCCTGAGATTATCATTTTAGGGAATGTACTGGTGAAGTCCTGCAGCCATTTGAGAGTTCAATCTTCAGTACTAGCTTGTGGAAGCAGCTGAAGTATTTTTTCTTTAAGGATGAACCCAATGGTAGTTTCTTCCTCTTGCCCTTTCTTTCCCTATGGGAGAACACGTGGAGTTTGTGACCGATCAGGCATTTTCCATCTCTGATTTACTTGTAGACCTTTGTGCAGTCTCATATGCTTTAGCCTGTGTCTGCTACACACATTTTCTTGCCTACCCCATACCTTAGAAACTAGGAATATGATTCTAAAGAGGCCTATTTTTCTTTCCAGGAGTGGCTGTAAAGGAAAGAAGTATGAAGCTCAATCGCTTACTTTGGATGTGTGTTCTCAGGTGGGTCTAAATCTGTTACTTGGGAGTCTTACAATGTAAACTTTTTATTTGTGAATTTAGACCAGTAATTGCCATTTCCTTCCAACCCCACAATTAAGTCATGGAAAATGGACTCTAGAAAAGATACACTCCTATACATAGAAAAAAAAATTTATGTATATGTGTATGTTTATATAAAATTTTCTGGGTAATTAAAGAAATTTATTATCAAAGCTCCCCTCGTGGACAAAGCAAGAAAACAAACCAGTAAAAGACATTTCATTTTGTTTATTTTGTAACTTGAATGATTATGGGACAGTAGTTGGAGGTGGGGGTGGAATGTAGAATATACCCATTGTCTTAAAATATCTGAGAAGTTGATATTTCCCTTACTTGAAGTATCTGCAAAGGGTAATGAATGGGAAGACTCAGACTAGGTGTAAGTAGGCTGTGTTCTTTCAACAAGCGTTTATAAAGCATTACCATTAGGTGCCAGGCACTGTGCTAAGCACTGTATCAGTAGGAATGATTTGCACCAGAAAAGTGACAATCAAGGACAGGTATGGATTTGAAAAGAGGAGGTGGGCAGATCATACAGGGAGAGTAAGGCATAACGGTTTTCTATCCACAGAGTTGTAGGAAGGTCTCCAGTGGGTTGGATAGGTCCTATGTAGGGAATGCAATGCTTGGTACACCATGATCCTCACTGGTTGAGGAGGACCCATAGAAGTGTGTATTCTTCTAAATACGTCCATCTGAGTTTTCCTCTACAATCAAATCAGCGTTGGCTAAGCATCTGTTTATTTCTTTAGGATAAAGGAGCAATTATCTCCCAGATCCCGGACATTTCAAATAGGGATGGCCATGCCACTGATGAAGAGAAATTGGCTTCTACATCATCCAGCCAGAAACCATCTGAGTCCGAGGTGAAAGGTGAGCCAGAAGACGACCTGGAGTACTTTGAATGTTCCAATGTTCCTGTGTCTGCCATAAATCATGCGTTTTCATCCTCAGAAGCAGGTATGAGAGCATATCTTCTATCTCATATATTTAATAATTTAGACCATTCTGAAAGCCTGACGTGATAACTGCCTCATAAGAAGGTTAGAAGAATTGGAATCATTGAACCTAATGGGGGTGAGGGGAAGAGACAACAAGAACAGAGGACTTGGGCCAGCTCTTTTCTCTGGACTCTTTTATCATAAAGAAGAGGGCTTGGAATCTCAAAATTGGAAGAGCTATAAAACAGCATGTGGACTCGGCCCCACATAAGGCATGGATCCCTTTCATAAGATCCCAAACAGTGATGATGATAATCCAGCTTCTGCTTCTAGACCTCCAGTGACGAGGAGCTCATGACCTCCTGAGTTTGCCCACTCTACTTTGGGATGGCTCTCATTTTTTTTTTTTACTGGAGGGGTCATTCTTTAATGTTTAAAAACATGACGTATCCAAGTTCCAAAACAATTTCATAGTTAATATATACAAAAGCTTTTAGAAGATAACAGTTCCCTGTGTCTATCTAGACAGTGAGCTTTGGGGGTCAGGAAGACCTGTCTCCCAGGTAAGTGACTCAGGACAAGTCACTTAACCTCCCAAAGCCTCTAAACCTTCTAAGACTTTAAGTTTCATGGAACCTGTTATTTTGTATTGGTAGAGAAAACTCCTCATGAGGAGCTCCTTATGCCGTGAAATTACGTCCTGTCCAAAACAACAACAAACAACAAAAAACTAGAAACTTTTAGAGGGCATTCTTTCACAGGTTTACCTTGGAGTAGATGTCCTCTGAATTCAATTCTCACTTCTAGAGTATAATTCTTTTATGCAAACAACACAAGGTTATACAAAACACAGTGACCAGTTCTGAATTCAGGCAATCTTGTTTTTCAGTAGAAATTAAGAAAATCACAGTTTTAATCAAAGCTAAGGTTCCTATACCCTGTTTCAGTTCAGTGAGATGTTGTCAGTAGTGGTAAACCCAAGGTATCTGCCTCAACTGGAATGCAGATTCCACCGAACTTTAGGGGAAGTAAATTTCTTCTGCCCTTTTTCTTCCACGCTCCCCTATCAGTCAACTCTGGTTTCAGAGATTGATAATAAACCTGGAAAATGTGAAGAAAGGAGTCAATAAAAAAGTAGTATTATGTACAAGAAAGATAATTGGAATAAAGGGGCCTGGGTTAGAATCTTTGAGTATAGGTAAGTCCCTTAACCATTCACATCCTCAATTTTCTCATCTGGAAAATGGGGAGAATGTTTCTAATGAATAACTGATAAGATTGCTCAGAGTAAAGCTCTATATGCATGTGAGGGGCAGTATGATTTTATGGATGAAGAGCTATTATTAAAGTCAGTGAGATGTGAGTTCAAGTTTCAGCTCGGATTCATAGTGGCTATATGATTCTGAGCAAGTCACTTAACCCTCAGTTCTTTAGCCTATACTATAAATTTCTATAAGTTATAGAGCAGATGCTGATTTGCATTGATGGAGGAAGTTTCTGATGGCTCTCATTTTTAGACCTAAATGTTTTTCCCTAAATTTCATAATCATAAACTAGGATAAGGCAACTAGAGTTTTGTCCTAGGTCAGTCCTGTTTTGTAGGGGTGGTGGTAAAGAAAGAGAGAGATCCCTTCCCCACCTCATATCACTTTCCATGCATCTGCATAGGCAGTCCCTGGCACCCATCACTCCATGCAAATGGTTGGTGAGACCCAGCTTAAAGTAGAGGATGTCAAAGGATGGGATCTTCAGCCAAAATGTGTGGGTGTTGGGAGCAGGTGTTAAATTGATCTGAATGGATGGCCCTCCCTTGATGATGCTAATGGTCATGCCCACTCAATAGTCAACCAGAAGGGAAAGGGAACTACCACAGACCTCCACTACTTTCCATCCTCCACTCCATGAATACTTTGTGTATGAATGGGGAGGAGGTAGCAAAAGGCCATGGCACCCTCTTAGGTCCTCCAAGGTAAAAATATTGTGAGCTATAACTGTTTACATCTATCTCCCTGGAACTGTGTTGGTCATGGCTCTGCCCTCTGGGGTTAAACAAAACAAGTCTAATCATTCTTCCACTTAATAACCCTTCAAATACTTGAGGACAGCAATCATGTCCTCTTACTCTCTCCCCATATCTTCTCTTTTCTAGAGTAATTCTGCAGTTGTTTCTCATGTGGCACAGCTGTTACCTCTTCTTCCTGGTATCCTTTCTCTGGAAATAATCTATTTGTCAAGATCTTCTTAAAGTGCAGGACCCAGAATTGGTTGTAATAATTCAGATTTCAGACCAAGGAACCATGACCCCCTTTGTTGAGACACTATGCTCCTATTACTATTGTCTGAGATCATATTAATTTACTTGGCTGCCTTAATCATGTTACTGACTCATTTTCAAGATTATGGTCTTATCAAAGCTCCCATATCTTCTTTATGTAAACTTTAATGTAGCTAAGTCTTCACCATACTTGTACACTTGATTTTTTTTTTAGTTCAAGTGCCAGACTTTATATTTCTGCCTATTATGTTCAATCTTATTTGAATTGATCCACCATTCCAAGCCTTATAGAGATTTTTTTCATCCTAATTCTGTCTTCCACTATATTAGTTGCCCTTCTCAAATTCATATTATCTTCAGATTATATCATTCTTGGTAGAGGAAATAGAAGCAAATTAAGAATTGAATAGTTGGAGTTATTCAATCCTGGCTTATTGTCCCCAAAATAGGCATGCCATTGATGAACTCATCCAAGTTGTCAATAAAATAATAAACAAAATAAAGCCAAGAACTTTCTCCAGATTGACCCTTATTCATGAATCATCACTCTTGGATTGTGTCTTACTGAGTTGCTAACTAGAACCTTCCTAACTAGATTATTATCAGTTCACATCTTATCTTGTCTATTAGGATGTTTGAAAGATTTTGTCAAGGGATTTGCTAAAATCTGGGTATACTGTACCCTCCTCATTTCATTGGTAGAGCAGTTTAATAGCTCTTATCTAAAAAGGAATTGAAATTGGTCCACTTTGACTTGTTCTTAATGCGCCCATACTGACTCATGGCAATTGTTGCTTCCCTTTCTACATACTCCCAAACACTCCTTTATTAATCCATTCTAGTATTTATCTAGGAATCGAGTCAAGTTCCCTTACCTACATATAGCCTGAAAAGTCTGTTTTCCTTATGTAGTAGATAAGAGAATATTTTCCTGTCTCTAGTTCATCAAAAATCTCTCCTAGTTTCCTAGGAGAGAGAGAGTATGTTTGTGTGTATAAAAATACATAAGAATATATTATAATCAATATAATATAAAATATAGAAATAAATATAATTTGTCCAGGCCAAGTAGCTTGAATTTATTTCATTACCTGTTACTCTTTCACAATCTCACTTATCTCGTGTTTCTGTTCCTTATTAACCATTTTCAGTTCTCATTCTGGGGACCATTCATTCCAGAATCAAAACAGGAATACAAGGTGACCCAAAAGTCTCAATGCAGTTTTAAGTTTTAATAGCTATAGTTCTACCTTATATACACATATATGTTTAACCAATTTCACTCTTACATCCGTGCAGAGCAAGGGCTTTATCACTTCCATTTCTCCGTCTTGTCTCCTAATACAACTAAAACCATTTTGCCCTTATTGTGAATTTCAGCCACATTAGGCTTTGCCTTTCCTGACAGTATCCTTGCCAACTCACTGTTTTCATATTTGTTCTCAGTTATATGCCCATGCCTGTATTGTGTAGGTGTTCCTTTTAAAGCTTAGCTTACTGATGGGAGATCTCATTTACCTCCTTAGTAAACCTGCCAGTTCAGTTACCCACCTTCTGTGCATTGACATATAAACATCTGAGTGTGAGAGGGGGCGAGTATAATGGAATCATTTGGCTTCTATAATAGTCCTGCTTTCAGGCATTGGAGAACCAAATTGTCCACTGCATCTTGAAGCTTTCACCTTAGTGATTCAGTATAAAGTCTAAGAATCTTCTTTTGTTTGTGCGCTACAGAGAACACATTAAGCTTGCGTCACTATTACTTGTTTGCTATTTAAAATTACCAGGACAATTCTGCATGCTGTTTGTCCGATGAGGTTTGGAACTGTTTGTTCATCTTGTAAAATAAGCATTATAAATCACATTTCCTATGCAGCAACATTACTTTGCTTTGAAACTTTTATGCCCATGGACAGGTGGGTGTTGGAGGAATATATTCTTCCTTCCTATGAATAGAGGTAGCTTTGGCCCAGTGGTTAAGAGCAGAAAGACCCAGGTTCAAGTCCTGCCTTTGACGCACACTGGACATGTGAGTCCCTTAACCTCTCAGCATTCCAGGCCACTCACCAAGAACACTAAGAGTAGCTTAGAAGGTGCCAACCTGTTTTTTCACTAGAGGGTTTCCTTTAACCAACAAAAATCACAGGTCCAGACTCTGTCCTTATTCGTGAATATATAGATAAATAGATAACTATGAAGTACTCATGAAAAAACCTAGGAAGTCCTGCAGCATTGGGTCAGTTCCCTATGGGGGATTTGTAGAAAGGCTTGGACAGAAGTCCTGAAGCAGTTATAATTTGCACTAAAGAAGGAGGAATCCACATCAGTGAACTCTCAGTGTCCCAAAACACTAGTGTAGTTTTGATCCTTAATTAACTTTATCATCTTAAGCTTTCATAGCTTAAAACTTTTGGGATACTTGGATATCTACACAGGCTTCAGTGGCTCTGATTTATAGATAGAGGACTGAGAGACAGTTGTGGCATATGGTGCATAGAGAGCAAGCTTTTGAATCCAGAAGTCCGGGGCTCTAGTGCTTCCTCTGGCTCCATCTCTCAGGGCCTCAGGCTACACTGATCTGCTTCAGTGGAGCAGGTTTCCATGTTGGCGGTTAGTTCCCCCACACTGATTAAAATGACAGATCTAAAGCAAAGAGATTATATCTCAGTGTATGGATATACCATCCTAATTGATAGAAATAGATTTGTAATAGAGAACATTTAACCACATGTTTCTGTTTTGTCTTTATTTCTTCACTAGATATAGACTTCTTTCAAGATGAGCCAGATCCACATTACTCCTGGAGACCTGCCTAAGTTAAAAAAAAATCACCCAGGCCTGCTGATAAAATAAGGGCTATCTCTCCCTTCTTGTGCTTGTGTCTGTGTTTATGAACACTCAAAGCTGCACCTCCCTTAACCAGCACTAGATGGCAGTCTTGCCTTTCCCCACTGCAGGTGCTCCCAAGGGCTCTTGGCTAACCAACTCAACCCATTTCTTCCTTAGACTTTTCATACCAAATAGCAGGATTGTACAATAGATGGCAACTCAATTTTCTATCTTTATTTTTTTAGAGGTTAATTTTATTGGTATATTTTGTGTTTACTTAGCCTAAGTTTCCTTTTTTTCTACCCCTCCTAGAGAGCCATCCCATATAATTTTTTAAATAAAAAGGGGGAAAAAAAAGAAAAACTGATACATCAAAAAAAAAAATTGACAATACAGACAATTCTCACCTTATGGAAATTTGCATTATGCAAATTTAACTTTATATAAAGAATTCTAAAAGAAATCTGGATTGCCAAAAAAACACCAATGTTAACTTTACTGATACTGAATAGTACTGTGCTTTTGTCTTTCTACCACAACCCCTCGGCTCTTTACTCCACAGCCTCCCACCCCACCTCTGCCAAACTTAAAAAAAAAAAAAAACACGCTCCAAGTGAAGGCAGAAGAACAGACTGCAGAGAGACCAACATGGATTGGAGGCTTGGCTTGAGAACTCTGTCAGAGCAGATTTTTGCACTGTTCCACCTACCTACCTACATTTCTGGTGTCCCCTCCTCTCTCCTCCACCCAGTGTCTGTCTGTTCATCCTTAGGTACCACATGTCATCTGTCCTTGGCTCCCACATGTCACCCATCCTCTTCTGTCTGTGACATTGTCCAGACCCCACATGGCTGACCTGGCCCCAAAGTGTTCCTCCTTTTGTTTCTCTGTTCCAGCCTCCATGTATCCTTGAACTGTGTGCTGGCCCCCTCTCTTCCCCACATCCAGGGGCAAATTTGCATTATGAAAAATTGGCTTTATGTAGAGGTCTGTGTAAAGCAAGAACTTTTTGTATGTGCAATGTTGCACATTCATGGACACATATACCCACCCACCTCCAACTTGTGAGTAGTGGGAGAAGGTATCAACTACTCAATTATAATCCAAACTTCATTTTATTTCCATCTAATAGTGTTTTATCTTTCTAATTACATGTAAAGATAGTTTTCAATATTCACTTTTATAAGATTTGGAGGTCCAAATTTTTTTCTCCCTTACCCTCTCCGAGACAGCAAGCAATCTGATTATTTTAAGTTACTATATTATATCCTGGCCCTGATGAAACTGTAGATTTTCATCAGGGATGCTTGTAAAGCAGTAGTTCTTAACCTTTTTTTGTATCATGGACCCCTTTGATAATCTGGAGAAGCATATGGGATACTCAAATTTTTTTTTAAATGCATGAAATACATTATAAAATATTATTATAAAAGAAATAAATTCTATTGAAATATAGTTATCAATTTTTTAAAAATGTAAGTTCACAGACCTCATGTTAAGAATCGCTGTTTTAAAGGCAATTCTCATTAAAGATGGAACAGATAGATTCCCTGAAACTTGTAACAGTGATTTTCTGTATTTTAGGCTTAGAAAAGGATAGCTGTCAGAAGATGGAGAAGGATGGATCCAGTGTACCGGTAAGTTCAGAATTGTGTGCTGCTTTTGCTTTCATTTTGAAATTTTATATTGGACTTTCAGATAACAAGGATCCAGGAAAAGGGGGTCTTCAACTCATCTTTTTTCCTGAGTGAAGGCAGAAAGGCTGGCCTGGAAGAAGCTTTCAGAGTTGGTCTTGTGTAGGCAGGTGGGGCAAATGAATATTCTTCAGGAGGGTGCTTCTGTCTTCTAACAGACAGGTACATAGTTCTCTCAAGCCTAGATGATGTGACCTCTTGATGAGTGATAGCTCTCCTGTTTTGGGGTATCCCCTCTAAGAAGGCCCCCAAAAACACTCCATGGAGAAGAAGCACTGCCAGTAACCACCTGTTATCATAGTTCACTAGTAGATGGAGATGTTGGTTTGTTGGCTGCTAAATTGAGATCTGAAAGGGACCTCAGAGGCCAACCCCTTAGTTTTATAGATGAGGAAACTGAGGAACACAGAAATTAAGCAGCTTTCTTAAATTCACACAGGTAAGTTGGCAGATCTGGGATTTTGAACCATGACTCCGAATTTCATGAGTCAGATCTCATCAGTGACTAGTTACTTGTGCTAATTGGTTTCATTAATGGGAATGATTATTAGAGAATGTTGAACTACAGAATATCCAGCAAAAGGCTGGACTTCAGTGTACACATTTCCCAGTATCCCCGGGAACATAATGAGACAACCCCATCTCTTCTCGTGACTAACATAACCGGTCCTAATGATATTGGTCACAATTCAATTTTCTAGGGTGTTTTAAAGTTTTAAATTATTGAGTTTAAAACTGGAAGATTGATTAGCAGAGTTTATCTCCTTCACTGATACCTGACAAAACCCAGGTTTTTTTAATTTTCCCTCCACTGATTGTGTGTGCCGTGTTGCCTTTTAACCCTAAATGACTTGCCCGTGGTCACACAGATAGTAGATGTATAACCTTGGTTATACACATTCCAAGGGGCCTTATTTTGGTAGAGGACTTGTAGTCTTTTACAACTACAAGTCAAAGGATGCCACTCCTAGAGCTATGGGGGACCTGCTCTATCTTGCCTTAGTGTGGGAGGTTGAAGTTCCTTGTCAGGTACCAGGGTAGGGATTATTTCATTCTTTTCATTTGTATCTCCAGTGTCTGGCACACAGTAAGCACTTCATAAATGCTTAAAGAATTGGTTAATTGGTTCAGGACAAAGTTGGCTTCTCTGTGGTTCCTGTGGTATGAGATCCTAGAAAGGCTGGCTTACTTACGTGGAGAGGGTAATAGATTTAATGTCAGAAGGCTTGGGTTCAAATCCCAGCTGATACTTATTTGCTGTGTGATTCACAGGCTAGTCACTTAACCTCCATGAGCCTCAGTTTAACTGTCTATAAAATGGTAATCATAATACACCTGCTACCTCACAGGGTTGTCATGGGTAAAGCATATTGTAACTACGTAAACGTAAGTAGCTATTGTTCTCATTCATTCACACCAGCCCACGTCTGCCATTGAGGGTCAGTGGCCCTGACTGAGTATACACCATAGCTTTGCTTTTTTTTTCTTTTCATTTTCTAATTGGCTATGTTTGAATAATAATCTTAATAATAGCTGTTTCATTTATTAGCAAATGGGTTAGCAGTCTGTGTGGCTTTAGGACATTTGTCTGAGCCAGAATAATGTGAAACAAAGACTACTTTTACTTAACAATGGGCAGAAATAGAATGAAAGAACCAGGTGCCCTTGGCGTGTAGGACACGCACTAGACAGATCCAAAGAAGGAATTAGCCCCACCTCAAAAGACAATAACTATTTTGCTTATGTCTTGTGTTTACATCAGAACATAATCATAACAATAGTAAAAGCCAATGTTATGTTATTTTATCTGGTCCTTGCAACAACCCTATGAAGTAGGTTTCACTTTATTTCTACTGTGAGATCAGTAGTGCAAGCATTGTTATCCCCCTTCTTATAGGTGGGAAAACAGAGACCCAGAGTGTCTTATTTGTCTGAGACCACAACAGCTAAAAAGAGGGGGACGAGATTCAAACCCAGGTCTCCTGACTCCAAGGTCATTATCCGCCCGGTTTCCCCAAACCATTTCCCTTCATGACCCATCTGTTCTGAGACTAGCTCTCTCTGCACATGTGCATAGTACTGGACATTTTCCTGATTATTACAGCTTGGTCAGCACAAACTCAGAGAGCAGAGCCTCTCCTTTTGACCTTTCTTGGCTCCACTGACCTTGCAGCTGATTATTCCTGTGATTTCCTTGTAACTCCTTTTATCCCTTAGGGTTCCCAGGTCAGCCTGACATTAGTGTTAAGTATAACTCCTTTCTTGCTTCTTTGAATCTGTTATTCAGTTCTTTCTTGCACCACTTCCAAGCTAATCCTAAATATAGTATATCCCCAATGGTCATATTCACTCTAGATAGACATATTATTAATTAGTGTGCTGTAGGACAGGCAGTTCCTGTGTGTGCTATATTGGAAAAGAGATTAGAGAGAGGCACTGTTGGAGTGGTTTCCTTTAAAGTTTAAACGTACCAAATAAAGATTTCAGAAGTATAAATTTCTCCTTGCCATTATTGCCAGTATGATCTGGCCTGATGTTAGCCCTGCCATCGGTACAGTCATTTTAGACAATAAATGTCCATTCATTATACCCAGATAATTCAATGGGAGTTATTTCAAGCATGGTAGGAGAGGTTGCAGCTATTCAAGTCGGCACAAAATTGTGTTAGGCAGACCTATTTATTGAATTCGCATTCAGTATTTGGATATAATTGGCACCATCCAAGACCTCTATTTTAAACAGGAAATAACTTCAATCACTGCATTTAAAGACTCACAGTATTCCTCTCATTCTGAAAATCAAAAGATCTGTATAGGGGTGGGTGGGTAGTTTTGTGGATAGAAAATAGGCCTGAGTTAAAGTTTGGCCTTTAAAATCTGCTGGTTCTGTGACCCCAGACAAGTCCCTTAATCCTTCAGTGCCTCCAGATTACTTGATTACTGTCAGACACCAGTCTACATTAGAATCGCAGGTCTAATTCCTCTATACACCACCACCCTCCCAATTAATACAGCATGGTCTGTGTGGTAGTGAACTCCACAGTTGCATAGAGCTCATCATTGTGTTCCCCCTCTTCACTGATGGGTGGCCCCAACCTCCTCCACACCTTTGGACACCTGGTGGCTAACCTTGTGGTGAGCACCTCTGCAGGGTGAGCCCCAGGCAGTGGCTCTGCAGTCTGTCTCTGGGGCCTTACCCAAAGCCTTTCCAGTTTGACAGGACTTGTCAGAGGTTGTGCTGCATGGTCATAGCCTTGGAGCAACCAAGGACACCTCTGCTGTGTAATGAGGCAAGGACCTGAGGAAAACTTGAGTGTGGGCTGTTAAGGACAGACCTATTTAAATCTGAATCAGTCTTTTCACTGACATTCCTTGGAAGCAGCATGGTTCAGTTAAAATAACCTTGCAGCAGAAGGCAGATTGCCTGGGTTGCTAGCTCATCCACTAACTTACTGGGTCATAGGATCACAGATTTAGAGCTAAAAGTCACTGAATGTAGCTTCCTTATTTTATAGACAAGAAAACTAAGGCCCCTAGAGGTGAAAGGATGACCTTGGACTTATCACCTTTTTTTTTAAGCTTTTTTTTTAGTATTTCATTTTCCCCATTTAAAAATGGGGGGAAAAAACTGTAAAAACAATTTAAATGTAAAAACATTTAAATTTTTTTTTGTTAATTTTGATTAATCAACAATCACTTCCATAAGCTTTTGAGTGTTAAATTTTTCTCCCCCTGCTTCCCTAAGACAGCGTGCAATCTGATACATTCCTATTAAACATATACATTCCTATTAAACATATTTTCACATTAGTGATGTTGTAAGGAAGAATTAGAACCAATAGGAGGAACCACCAGAAAGAGGAAACAACACAAAACAGAAGAAAAAAATAGCAAATAGTATGCTTCTATCTGCATTCAAACTCCATAGTTCTTTGCATGTGGGTAGCATTATTGTTTGTTTTTAAAACAAGTTCTAAATTCTCTCCTTTATCACTCCTGTCACTCTATTTCCATATGTCAATTTCCTTATATATAAAATTAGGATCATACTGTCCACACATATCATTTCAGAGTTGTTAACTGATGGGATATTTTTAAAATCCTTTAAAAGCATGAATGACTTCATACGTAAGGGATTATTGGGACATAACTCTTTTCCAAACAGTTGCTTACGATCCCACAGGAGAATTAGTATTTTTTTTTCTTTTCAAAATAATGGTAGCCCAGAGATTAATTAGAAGTAGCAACAAGATTCCTCACAGCTTTAAAAATGGAAAGGTTTAGTTGGGAGGCTTATCAGTTGAGCTAGCACAGGTTCACAGCTAGTCTTGGCCTAAGGAATACATGAACTCCTGTGGAAAGGGATAAATGACATGGTTTCCCAAGAAAAAAAATCACCATACATCTTAGAAAAGCCATTTCTTTTATTTGTGGTTCCCCAAGAGGAATATCTTAGACAGTAAGCACATCCGCAAGAGCATGATGTCAAAGGACCAGAAATCACCTTTGTTGCCTGCCAGCCAGGTGACCTTGGGTTAATTCATGAACTTCACTTTCGTAAACTATCAGAAGAGAAAACTTGATAGAACCTGCCTTGCCCACCTCTTTGGGTTGTGGCAAAGATCACGCCATCTGTTGTTGAAAACTTTGAAGACAAGTGTGATGTACAGTCAGGGAGTTTGGTTACCTGTGTTGTGATCCGAAGGCAGAGAAATGCAGAGAATGTAATCCAATGCAAGCTTCTGGCGCTCAGGGACTTTTTCCACTTTTGTTGCTATCACTGGCACTTGGCACATAGTAGGCAATTAACAAGTGCTTGTTGAATAATTTAAGCTGGTGATTGAGAACAGACGATTTTGGGGAAAGAATCTGAGATGAATTCATGAGGGAACTTCATTTTCATGTTCCTAAAATGTGGAAGAGAACAAAGCTTAGGCTTAAGTCCTGCATGCAAAGGTGTGCCCAGATGAAATTTGCCCCCCCCCAAGCCTATCTGTCTCTTACTGAAATTCATTCCTCTCCCAGCCTCCTGGAGGTACAGCAGTTTTAAATACAACTCAATCAATTCCAGTAAGCACTTCAGAGACTGAAAAGGGATTGTAGAACTAAATGAATAGGCCCAAGCTGGACGCAGTGGGTTTCAATTTCCATCTTGATTGCTAACATATCCCTTCTTAGCACTTAGCCCTATGGAAGCAAAGTGTATTCAGTAATTTCTTTACCTTCTTGGTAAAGCTGGTTCAGATGATCTGTTATCAATATAGAAAGAAACAGCAGAAGGACGGGGCCCGAGGTCGTCTCTACTGCCCTTGTAACAAGGACAACTGACAGTGGCATTATCACTGTCAGCAGAATGAACTTGGGTAGACTGAGTGACCCTTGTTCTCCTCCCCCCAGGGACATTAGCAAAACAGAACTTGCTAGCATTCTACCTCTGCTTTTACAGCAGGCTGTGCTCAGGTCTGCTGTCTTGCAAAAGTGATTTATTTTGCCTTTATTATTCTCTTGGTCGCAGTATTTGGCTTAGAAATTGAGTACTCCATGTTTTTCAGACCTGGCTACCACAGTTTAGAAAGGACATTGATAAGCTGAAGTGTCCATAGGCAGGCAACCAGAATGGTAAAATTCCTATCCTATGAGGATTGGTTAAAGGAATGGGAAGAAAGGGAAGGGAATAAGTATTTCTCTAGGGCCTGCTATGTGCTGGTCACTGGGCTAAGCACTTTACAAATAGGATCTTATTTGGTCCTTCCAACAACCCTATGAGGTCAGTTCTGTTATCCTCATTTCACAGTTGAGGAAACTAAGGCAAACAAAGGTTAAGTGACTTTTCCGGGGTCATACTAATAAGTGCAAGGCCCAGTTTGGGTCTTCCTTGACTCTAGGCCTGGCACTCTATCCACTGCCCCACAAATGTTAGCAGTAATCATCTTATTGCCAGATCTCTTACTCAGTCCTAAGCCTCTCTGACCTGTCTACAGCAGATGTTGATCAGCCCCTTCTGGAGACCGTCTCCTTTAGGTTTTCTTGGCACTTCTCTCTCCTGGCTCTTCTCCTGCCTGTCCAATCTCTTCTCCGTCTTTGCTGGTTCTTCATCCATGTGACATGCTCACCAGCTTTGGGGATCCTCCAGGCTCTGCTCTGGGAGCCCTCTCCTGTCTCACCTGGTGATCGCATCAGCTCTCCTGGCCTCAGTTTTATCTCATTATGTAGATATTGCTGAGATATATATACCCAGCCCCGATTTCTCTGCTGAACTATATAATAACACATCTCCAATGATCTCTTGGACATTCCAAACCAGATGTGCCATAGGTATCTCAAACTTGGAATGTTCAAACCCGAACTCCTTCCCCCACCTCCTCCCTCACACATGCCCTTCCCCCTTCCAAAATTCCCTGTTACTGTTGAGGGAAGGACCATTTTCCCAGTCACCCAGGCTAAAATAATCTGTGTCACGTTTGCCTCCTCACTCACCCCACACATCCAGTGTATTGCCAAGTGACAACATCCTTTCTGCTTTCACAGCATCTCCTTTATCTATTCTCAGACAGCCACACAAGCCTAGTTTAGGCCCCCACCATCACCTCATGCTTGGATGGCTGCAATAGCCTGCTGGTGGTTCTGCCTGCCACAAGCCTCTTGCCATGCCGTTCATCTTCCACTAAGGGGATTTTTCTAATGCATATCAGACCACATCACCCCCTCATCAGCTCCAGGGGCTCCTTGTTACTGCCAGGATAATTTTTTATATATATATATTTATTTTTAGTTTTCAGCATTTACTTCCACAAAATTTTGAATTCCATATTTTCACCCCATCTTGCGCCTCCCCCACCCCAAGATGGCATGCATTCTGAATACCCTTTCCCCTAGTCTGCCCTCCCTTCTATCTCCCCCCCACCCCACCTTCTCTTATCCCCTTCCCCTTCTGTTTTCTTATAGGGCAGGATAGATTTCTGTACTTCATTTCCTGTATTTCTTATTTCCCAGTTGCATGTGGAAACATTTTTTTTTAAACATGTGTTTTTAAAATTTTGGGTTCCAAATTTTCTCCCTTCCACCCACCTACCCTCATTGAAAAGGCAAGCAAGTCAATGCAGGCCATACATGTGCAGTTATGCAAAACACTTCCATAGTAGACATGTTGTGAAAAACTGACTCTATTTCCCTTAATCCTATCCTGTCCCCCCCATTTATTCTATTCTTTCTTTTGACCCTGTCCCTCCTCAGAAGTATTTCCTTCTGATTACCCCTTTCCCAATCTGCCCTTCTATCATCCCCCTGCTCTCTTGTCCCCTTCCTCCCCTATTTTCCTGTGGGGTAAGACAGATTTCCATACCCAATTGAGTGTGTGTGTTATTCCCTCCTTAAGCCAAATCCTATGAGAATAAGATTCCCTCATTTCCTCTCACCTTCCCCTATTTCCCCTCCACTGTAAGAACCTTTTCTTGTCTGTTTCGTGTAAGATAATGTACCCCATTCTACCTTTCCCTTTCTCCCTTCTCCTAGTATAATCCTCTCTCACCCCTTAATTTTATTCTCCAGATATCACCCTTTCATCTTCAACTCACCTTATGCCCTCTATCTATCTGTCTGTCTATCTATCTATCTATCTATCTATCTATCTATCCATTCATACATACATATAATTTTTCCCCTCCCACTACCCTAATACTGACAAAGGCCTCATGAGTTATAAACAGTTCAGCCTTAATAAGTCTCTTATGATTTCTCTTTCCTGTTTACCTCTTCATGTTCCACTTGGGTCCTGTATTTGAAAGTCACATTTTCTATTCAGCTCTGGTCTTTTCATCAGGAATGCTTGAAAGTCCCCTATTTCACTGAATGGCCATTTTTTCCCCTGAAGGATTATACTCAGTTTTGCTGGGTGGGTGATTCTTGGTTTACTGCCAGGATAATTATAAATAACTTTGCCTGACATTTAAAGCCCTTCACAACCTGACCCCTCTGTGGTACAGTGCCTAGCCATAACAGATGCTTGATAAATGCTCACTGACCGACTGGCTTGGCTGTCCCCCTTCCCTTCCTCTGCCCCCATGCCTAGAATGCTCCCTTCCCTCGGTCTCTTAGTTTCCCTGGCTTCCTTCTGGAGTCAGCTCATATCTACCCCCTTCTGCAGGAGGCTTTCCCTGATCTCCATTCCATACTACTTTCATCTACTCTGTATCTTCTGTGTATCTAAATATTGACATGTTGTCTCCCTCTTTAGAATGGATACTTCTTGAGGGCAGGTACTTTTTTTGCTTTTTTTACACCCCCAGCACTTAGCACAATCTTTAGCATAAGTTGTTGTTTAGTCGTTCAGTCTTATCTGACTCTTCATGATCCCATGGACCATATTGTCCATGGGATTTTCTTAGCAAAGATACTGGAATGATTTGCCATTTCCTTCTCCTGTGGATTAAGGCAAACAGAGGTGACTTGACTTGCCCTGTGTCACATAACTAGTAAGTGCCTTAGTCTCAATTTGAGCTCAGGTCTTCCTGACTCCAGGTATCTACTGAGCCTTCTAGCTGCATCACATAGTAATCATTAATTAAATGCTTATTGACTAATTTTCCACCATTTTCTTCATCTATAAAATGGGAATGGGGAGTGGACAAAGTGTTTTCCATAGGAAAAGAGGCTTAGGATTGAGCATGAGATTTGCAATAAGATGATTACTGGTAACATTTGTGGTACAGTGGATAGAGCACCAGGCCTGGAGTCAGAAAGATCCTAAGATTGCATCTTTCCCATAAGATAGTATAGTAAGTAGAGATCGTATAAATAGGTGGATTTTTAAAAAATTTGATCTCTAAAGCCATGAACTTTCATTATATAGTCACTTAGGTGAGGAAAAAATCTAATCATTGAACAATAACTAATAAATGATATGTTAGACTAGAGTAGTAGTGCATGACTGTAATCTTTAGAGTTTGGTGGATTGATTTTGGGAGTTCTTTTTTGATTTTGGGAGTTCTGAGTTGCAAAAGGGCTAAAGAGGATTGAGTGCACCAATATGGTAAGCCCTTGAGAGTAGGTGAATCAGAAACCTAGATTGGAAACAAGAGTGGGTCAGAGCTTTCATGTTGATCATCAGTGGAGTTGAGCCCATGAGTGACTGGGTAAGAGAGGAAGACCCAATCTCCCCCAAAAAGTTTTCTATTACAGCCCGATAAAACAGATTATTGGACTTAGAATTAGGAAAATTTGGTTTCATATACTGCCCTGACATAATAGCTGTGTGATGAGAAAGTCCTTAATACCCACTTCTCAGGGTTTTTGTGAGGTTTAGTAAAACAATGTATATAAAAGTGCTCTGCATATTAGTTTTAAAATTTTATAATTTATTTTCCCTAATTACATGTTAAAACAACATTTTTTTTTTCTTGGTGAGGCAGTTGGGGTCAACTGACTTGCCCAGAGTCATGAAGCTAGTAAGTGTTATGTGTCTGAGGCCGGATTTGAACTCAGGTCCTCCTGACTCCAGGGCTGGTGCTCTACTTCGCCACCTAGCTGCCCCCGACTTTAACATTTTAAAAAAATTGTAAAGTATTATATGTAAATGTTAATTGTTGCTTGCTCAAGTCACTTAATCTATGTCTGAATTTCCTCATCTATTAAATGGGGATAATAGTACAGTACTGTTGTTGTGTGGCTCAAATATTATATGGGTAAAAACCTTTGTTGAATGTGTATCATTGATATTATGGCTATGATTGAGAGCCAGTCTCTCATTGACTTTAAAGACAAGGGGAAGAACATCTTGTTAAGCACTTTGAGCCCACACATGCTGAGAACATCTGAGCTGATCCTCTTGGTATCTGATGTAGCTATTTCTAAGGAGAGACTATGTCAAAATCTGGCCGCAGCACGTGTTCTCGTTGGCTTGCTAATAATTTCATAAAGGGAGCCATAATCAGGTGGAAAACCTCAACACAGAGCAATTTTTTAGGCAGATTTAAACCTAGAAAGCCAGTGGCTTGAGTGCTTTTCATAATAATGTTTTTCTTTCTGCAGGGTGTGTTTGACCTTTGCTCAACTGAGAAAGCCCCTGTGTCTGTGGCATGTGGAGATGAAAGTCCCCTGGATAGCATCTGTCTCAGTGAATCAGATAAAACTGCAGTCCTGACCTTAATAAGAGAAGAGGTAATGGCTTGGGTTTGGATGCTTTGTTCACGAAAAGCCTAGCCTAGCAGGTAGATGTCATCCCTTTTGACCAGAATCACACGTGCATTGAAGTTATAGGACTCATAAAGAACTCCCTGTGTAATGTAACAGAAAAAGTGCTAAATTCAAAACCAGTGGACGTGGGTTTGAATCCCTGGCTTTGAAATTTACTTATGTCCTTAGGGGGAATGATCTAACTTCTCTTTGCCTGAACTCTTCTGTAGTACCACAGCATTCTGTCTTGCTTATTGTCACACACTTATGGAATTGCAAGCACATTTTCATTTATCTGTGGCCACCAATGATCATAATCACCGTGGTACAGGAGAAATAACAGTGACTGTTGTCAGAGGACCTGTGTTCAAATCTTGATTCTACCTATGTGACCCTTCACTTTGTCTATATTATAGACTCTACAATATGAAAATGTACGAGATGATCTCCTAGGTCTCTCTAGATATATGATCCAATGATCTTAATCATAGGCACGTTACTTAAAGGATTAGCCACATGAGAAATGACACATAAGTACAATCGAATGAGTTTACTAATTCTTCTTTGTCACTTTAGCCAGTATTTACTCTTTACTGCACACACATACCTACATAGAAACATTCACATGCACATGCTTTATGCACGCACACATAAATACATAGAAAATCCAAACTTTTTTAATCCTAGACTTCAGACAATAAAGAATTAGGTCCCTACTTTCTCAGGTCTATAATAACCAAAATTATTCATGTGAAGTGCAGGCTGTTGTACATTACATTTTCTGCTTAGCAGCATTTCTGCACAGTTCTTAAATTTCCCATTTTTGGAGGAGGATGAAATGAAGAAGGTTAGGAGTTTCAATTTGTATCCATCCATTTAGGAGAAGTGAGAATAATTGCGGCAAAGCACAGCGCTGTGCACCCCTGACTCCACAAAAGGTTGGGCCTCACTGGCCCGTGAAAGTTCACAACTCAGACGGCATTTCTGACTCACCAGAATCCTGCTTCAGTTTGGGCCGCTTCACCCTGATTTTTTCTACCTCTGCTGTTACAGCCCCAAGCTCAATCATATTGCTTTTCATGCTTATTCTGTATCACAGGTCACAACCTGAATTATTTTCCCACCAGCACCATCTACTCCCTTTCTGACCATCTCCGTTCAGATCAGTTTAACAAGCTTTTATTTATTCAGTGTAAGGCACTGGGCTGGCTGCTGAGCATATGAAAACAAAAATGAAAAACAATTGCTGCCCTCACATTTTACTAGTAGGTAGCCATCTTGTCTAGGTGGTCAAACAGTTTTCAGTTACATCACCACTCCTTCAAGGAATAATGAAGTACCTTGACAGGCACTGATGTGGTTTCATATCTTCTTACCTTCTTTGCAGAAATAGGATCTATGGGTGTATAATACTGCATATAATGTCAGACTCTTGCAATGGACTGGTTAGTTTTGTTGAACTGTTTTTCTTCTCTTTATTCATTGTTACAAGGGATGCTTCTCTGGGAGAAGAAAAGAGAAAGCATATAGTAAGAAATGTAGGTGATTTAAAAAAAAAGATTTTTTTTTTAAATGATAGAACACCTTCTGGACTAAATTTGGTCAATTTGAATATATGGACATAACCTTGAGACTCTAATGTCCCTCCTGTTACATTCCAGAACTTTGTCCTCCAGGGCTTGTGGAGTTCATGGAGTGATGCTCTGCTAGGCTCATCTACTTACCGGGTCCCAAGTACCATGTCCAAATGGCACTGCGTACTTCATGAGTACTGTTTCTGTGAGAAGTTAATAAAGTAGCAGTTTGACAGAGAGGAAATAGTACCTGGTAGGCTGACAGACATTCATAATGGACCTTGGAAGGCCCCCTGGCAGACACCATATATACTTTTCAATTCCAGAGTCCTGCAGAACTTAAATAATGAGTCTCTGATTGCCCCACTTATAGAAAGAGTAGGATTAACTTCCTCAGCATACCTGACATGCTCCAAACCTTAATACATCTTTTTGATGAAAAACTCATCTCTAAGGTAGCAATAATGATCCAATAACCAGCCTGTTGGAACTTACGCCTTAAGTCACAGGAACAGAGTGCCACAGTATCAGTCATCTGGAGAAAAGAACTGATATTACAGGCAAGTGAGGTGGTTGTACCTCAAGGGGGCTCACTAGCCACACCAGTAGCCAGGACTTAAGCCCACTGTACAACTAGTTCCAATTCTGACTCCATTCTTTAGTCAGTTCTGCTTTAAAATTGAACATTTCCCCAAAAAAGAGAATAATGCTCCATTTGTTAAGCCAGGGTACAGGCACCCTAGGAAGGAGCTATCTCCATAAGCCTTTGTTTAGCTAAGAAATGGAAGGTCCCAGCCTCCCCTTGATCTCATCAAGATTATCCATTAAGAAAGAGTAAGACTTGCATACCCAAGTTCATTTTACTACCTAGCGTTCCAGCTGTACTTGGGATTTCATTTCAGATGAGCTTGTGCTCATTTGTGTATCACTTCACCCTCTAGATGATGAGTGGACAGCTGTCCTACACCTGCTACAACAGGTGGATGGCCAGGCATGTTGGAGTGTTCAAGATTCTACAATTGGTCACCCCCTACTTTTGGTGGCTGTGAAGTCTGCCATAATATTTGGCAGTGTACCTACAGTACAGGCCAAAGAGGATCTGCTTGAGAAACTTAGGAGGACTTCTAGGGTATGGTTACCTCTTAACCTGAGCCCCTGATCATCTCTTTCAATGTAATCACACACCTGCCACCTATATAGTGCCAGGATGTCATACTGGTGGTTATAAAGTTGATAACTACAAGTCATCAAGTCCCAAAAGACTTGATTATTCCTACAAAAGATATTCTGGCTTCATGGACTTCCACATCAACTCAGACTGAGAACTCTCACTGTATTCCATTTATGGACCATTCTCTTCCTTCCACTTCCAAATTAGATTGCACTTGTCTAACACTTACCACCTCCAGTCTGATGCGCAAGTGACACATATGTACTGTAACCTAGGAAAAACCATTAGTTCGAACTTCTAGCATTGTGGACCACACTGTGCCCTAGTCTGTTGTTTTGTTATACCATTTCTGTTAATTCACCTGTCAGAAACATTCCCTTCTTTGTTAACTTCAGAGTCTGTCCTCTGTTCTTCTCATCCTCCATCACTCAAACCATGGTATTGGTGATAGATGGGTGATTATTTGAGAAAACTTGAAACTACCTAAACTTAGTTGCTTGCCAAGAAAAACCCCAAATGGAGTCATGAAGAATAAGCTACTACTGAAACAACTCCACAAAAACAAGAAACCTTAACTGCAGGCCATGCCGAAAACTACCAAGGTTTGTTGTTGTCCTTCGTTCTCAAAGAGGACCAAAATAACACCTCCACGGTAGGGTCAAAGTGTATCATGTGTCCTCGACTATGGCTTATCAGACCAGTACAAGCTCGTAAGGCTCTAGCACAGGTTGGGCACAAATAGTCTATGTGAATTTACCAACTCAGCGTTATGAATGGATGACTAATCACCACCAAACCCGAGGAAAGTTGCTTTAGATTCCAGATTAGGTATGGCTGTCTTCCCATAACCTCTAAGATGTTATGAAGCCATTTGGCTTTCCTGCTTCCCATCCCCCTAAAAACCCACCTTGTTATTCTTGAGTTTGCTGCATAAGATCCATCTTGGTCCCAGGTTTCACCTTCTAGCCCTTTCCTACTTCTGTTCGTTACTCATGAAAGGGCAGAAAGGATTCTCAATCATAGCTGCTATCCTGGATTCTTGGCAATGGTGGACACACTTCTGGTTTTTAGTCAACTCGCAAGACCACAGGCCAGAGGACAGGACCGTTCCATGCCCTGACATAGGTTGAGACATTCTGTCATCTGCATCCCCAAAAGCCCTAGTCCTTTGCACGTGGGAGGACAAATAGTGCAGATGTGCGCGCTGCTGTACAAACACCTTAAAAAGACAGTACTGATCAAATCGTAAAAGAGATGGAGTTCACATCTGGTCACATGAATAGCTCACTTAGACTTTTGTTCTGATAGAGGTTTTCTCGATGCTGACTCTGGATCCCTGTGTATTCCATTACCCCAGTGGTAAAGTATCCCTTCATGCCTCAACCTGATTTAATGACATGGTTCATGCTTGCCCCTATCTCAGCTTAAGACTGGAGCTATTTCCCATTGGCACTGTAGCCTCAGTTCCAGGACATCTTCATCTTCATGAGGGTACTTCTGGTTGGTGGCCATATGGTCCTGGCAGACAGAATAGTAATTAACTAGGTCTGATATAGATGCGTCTGTAAGTCCATACATGTTCTATTAATGATCATAAAACTAATATTTAATTTTGGTTTTCAGACAGCACTATAAATGTGGGACTTTTCCTCTTAATACAGAGACTCAGAAAGGATTTGATTTCTCTGTGCCCATTTATTTATGTTCCTACTTTTTAATCTGAAAAGCCCAAATTTGTATCAGTAAAATGTATCAGAAGAGCTAAATCCAGGTTTTGTTTCTTTTATGCTCTAGATAATCACTAAAGAAATTGAAGCAAATGAATGGAAGAAAAAATATGAAGAGACCCGACAAGAAGTCTTGGAAATGAGGTTAGAGTTTCCACAGAATTCTGAGACTTTTCTGGAATATCACTTTTGCACATATTTATGGGTTTATGATTCCCAGGTTAACAGATTGCTTAAAGTTTGTGGATAAGAGGCAGATTTAGGCTAGTTCATAAGGAAAAACTTCCTGACAGAACTATCCCAAAGTAGAATGGGATAGAGTGTGTTCTCCTTTGCTGGAGTGGGTGTATTGAAGTGGGCATTCCTTTTTTGGGTATGAGTTGGACTAGCCTGTCATTGAATGAGGTTTCTTCCAACTTTGAAATTCTTGATTCTGTGATTTTTGAACATTGAAACACTTGGCTCTTTGCATGTTGACACAGTGGATGTGGATAGAGCACTGAGCCTAGAGTCAGGAAGTCCTGAGTTGAAATCCAGCTTTAGACACTGTCACATCTGGTCATGTGAGTAGCTCAGGCTCCATTTTAGACACATTTAGATTTCTTTTCTGCTGTGGGTTTCGTGATGCTGGCTCTGGACCCTGTGTATTCCATTACTTTCGGTAAGTCACTTATCTTCTCTCTGCCTTAGTTTCTTCATGTGTAAAATGGGGATGATAGAGCAACTATCTCCCAGGGTCGTCATGAGGATTGAATGAGGTAATGTGTATAAAGCCTTTTGCAAACTCTGAGGCTAGAACCCTAGCTGGGGTTCTAGATGTTGTGCTGGATGTTGGGTCTGAATATCTGCCACACTCCTAAAATGAGATTTCTTTGAAAAGAAATAAAGGATCATAGACACAGAGCTGGAAAAGATCTCACAGGCCATCTAGTCCAACCCCCTTCTTTTACAGATGAGAAAAATAAGGCATGTGAAAGTAAGTGGTTTGCCCAACTTCATCAGGAGACCCCCGGTCCCACTGACAACAGAGCCAGTATTCTTTTCACCATGCCACATATACAGCCATACAATGAAAACCAGGGCCATGGCTAGTATGCACTCAAGGCTTCTGTGACCTGGGAGGAACACTGCTTCTACTCAGTCAAAGAGACTCCACCGAAGGAGAGGAAGGCTTAGACTGGAACCTGGCTTCGGCATTCACCAGCTGTTGAGGGTTCAGCCCCTGTCACTGGGCCTCAGTATCCTTATCTCCAAAATGAGAGGTTGCGCTCTAAGTATTTGTCTCCTGTAGGTTTAACAGTTGGTGGTGATGCAATCAGGGCCATTACATGATATGTGTTAAGTCAGAGCTCTGTACAAACAGAGTAGCATCACTACTTACAAATATATATAATGCAGACCAATGGAAAGCCATTAGGATAAGACACCTACTCTTTTATGTCTGTGCATGTTGGGGAGAGAGTGTAAATAATTCAAGTCCATAAATAATTTGTTAAAATGCATTTGAGCATCATATCCCTTCAGCACCAACTAGAGTTTAGCCATAGGTGATAAGAAAGGGCAAAACAGGTTGATTTCTATCTCCTTGAAAACTGAATTGCGTTGAAAACTGAAATGGCCAATCCAGTGTACTTTGTAGGCATCACTGTGCTAAGCACCAGGGATACACTTAATAATAAAAAGAAACACAGTCCTTGCCCTCAATGAGTTCACAATCTAATGAGGAGAGATAACACATAAACAGAGGTAGAACAGCTGTTGGGGGCAGGGGAGAGAGCAGAGCCTAAGGGTGTTCATTTTGGTGGACCAGGCAGAGCAGCAGGTAAATAATGAAGTGACTAAAAGCAAGTAATCACAGAGAGGAGAAAGCCAACATCCCAAATAATTCCTGAGAGGCGGGGAGGAAACACTCCTCTTAGAGTCAAAGTAGGTTCAAATTCTAGCTCAGAAGCTTACTACCCATGTGACTTTGGTCAAGTTCATTTCCTCATCTGTGAAATGATGAGATTGGACCAGATAACTGTTTTAAAAAGTCCCTTCTAGTAGTATTTGGAAAAACAAGCATTCACCCAAAATTTTTACTCACTGATTAGTTGTTATATAAAGATGACTGTGAGCATAATGCCTTGGGCAGGATAAGAAACATGCATAGGTAATAGTAAACGGTAAGCAAGTCAGAGAGCATAGAATCATTGGCCTAGAACGGGAAGGGACTTCTGACCACCTAGTGTAACCTTACAGATGAGGATACTGAACCCCAGGAAGGTCACATGCTTTGCTCTGAGCTACTCTGGTTGTAAGCATCAGATGTAAGATTTAAATGCAGGTCCTTGGACTCAAAACTGAGTGTTCTTTCAGAGCGGCGTTCTTGTCAAATCAGGGTGAGGAGCAGGGGAAAAGACAAGGGGAATCAAAACTAATGTTTCAAGGTACAGAACTGGGAGCTGGAGAAGCATGTTGAGACTCTAGTAGGAAATCCAACAAGGAGCAAAACATGGATAAGTGAAAAATTCTGTGGTATTTTGAAATTGTAACAAGACTATCTGTACAGGGCAGTGTAAATCTGAAAGAAACTTCTATCTTACTGGGTCCATTCTAGTGACTTAGTTGAAACTCAGTATTTGTGCAGATTAGTGTGTCAGTTCACAAAACATCTATGCTTACCATGTGCCTGATCCTGTGTTAAATATTGGGGGGACTCAAAGAAAGATTAAAAACAGACTCTGCTCTCAAGGGGCTCACAATCAAAGGGATGAGGCAGCATGTAGATGGAAGAGAATCTTAGAAGGCACTCATCTTAAGGATAAATGGCAAAGGCTTCTTGAAGAATGTGGGATTTTAACTAAGACTTGAAGGAGGGCTAGCAGGCAGAGGTGGAGAGGGGGAGAGCGTTCCAGGAAGGGGGGGGGATAGCCAGTGAAAATGGCAGTGTTGTATGCAAGGAACAATATACATAGTGTGCATTTGGAAACACAGAACTCATCTGATTTTTCTTTTTTGTTTTTTAGGAAAATTGTGGCTGAATACGAAAAAACCATTGCCCAAATGATTGGTAAGAGGGAAATTACCTCCCAAGTATGAGCCACTGGGAGTGGATTTCAGATCAGAATGCTGAGTAGGGCAAAAAATACCTGACTCCACAGTAACCTTTTACTAAATGTTCACTGGTCATACATTTTCTTTTTTTTTTTAATAATTTATTTTTTCCAATTACGTGTTAAAACAATTTTTAACATTTTTTTGGTTTGGTGAGGGTTTCTTTTTTGTTGTTAGTTTTGTCTTTTGAGTTCTAAATTCTGTCCCTCCTTCTCCTTGAATTGGAGCAATCTGATATAGGTTATACATGTGTAATTATGTAAAACGTTTCCACATTAGTCATTTTGTACAAGAACATTTGAAGAAAGAAAGAAAGAAAAATAGTATGCTTCACTCTGTATTCAGACAGTGTTCTTTCTCTGGTGCCAGATTGCACTTTTCACTGTCATGCATTTTCAAAAGCCTGTCCCCTTCCCGAACTCATTGGTGTCCTCCAAAGGAACATTTTTATCCCCTTTCAGCCCTTGTTGTTGTAAGAAATCATAGCTCTCAGATAAAGCAAAGCAGAGACTTTTGAAAAGAAAACGTGGTGGTTCCCATCCTGGCAGTCTTTCAGTATCGGCCAGTCTATATGTGGAATAGAGATTAGTCTTGTTCTAAGGCAGCAAGTCCCTGAGACCCTTTCAGGAGGTCTGAGAAGTCAACACTTTTTTCATCATAATACTCAGGCATCTGACTTCTAATATGGTAAATATTCATACTATAGCCCATATAAATGAACTTTTTTCAGAGTGGTGATCCTCAATAATTTTTAAGAGTGTAAAGTGGGTTTGAAAAAACAGTGTGATAACCTATGTTGTAAGGGTTGTCCTCAGAGAACAAATGTAAGAGCAGTGGGGTGAAAGTCTCAGAGGCAAATGGTAAACTTAATAACAGGAAAAACAATGAGAGCTGTCCCCAAGTAGAACCAGCACCTCCAAAGGGCGGGAGGTCTGGGATAACCAAGTCTGTTGGGGATGTTGTAGCAGGGATTCCTACTCAACATAGCACTGGATTTGATAACCTAGTTGTGTGCAGTGCCCCTTACATGTTCGTGAGATTTATAGGCTAATGTGAAGCAAGAGGTCACACCAGCATTCTTACTTTGTTGCCTTATATTTCCAGAGGATGAGCAGAGGACAAATATGACCTCTCAGAAGAGCTTCCAGCAGCTGACCATGGAGAAGGAACAGGCCTTGGCAGACCTGAACTCTGTGGAGAGATCTCTGTCTGACCTATTCCGGAGATATGAGAACCTCAAGGGAGTCCTTGAAGGGTTTAAGAAGGTGCTGAGCGCTTTTCTCTCTGCTTCCTTGTCCCTCCTGAAAGGTTATCTGGTTATTCATTCCTTGGTGTTTCCTTCACCTCCCGGAATCTGATGTGGCCAGCCTCTTGATGGAGTACCCACTTGGGGCTTTGAAAGACCTTTTGTAATCTTCTTTTAATTCTCTTTTCAGTCGTTCTTTCTATCATTGTTGATGGGCCACACTGTTGTGGCCAAGTTTGAAGCTGTGGACACAGACTAGAAAGTTACGAGGTGCTTAGTGCTCTTTGTGGCCTGGCCAGCCAACATCAGTAACTTTAGCAAGAGCTCATCTAGCCTGGAGACTGGTAGATGAAACAGCAACTCCAGTATTTCCTTAGCATTAAGAATACCGTTAAAGTACAATGACCAACCACAGTTCCAGAGAACTCGTGATGAAACATACTGTCCGTCTCCTGATAGAGAGGTGATGGACGCAGTATAGATTGAGATGTAATTTAATTTGTTTTGTGTGCGTGACCGTACATGTTCAGAACAAACAATACATGCTTAATAACAGGTTTCTGCCAGCTTGGCACAACTGGCATTCTGCTGGCAAAGCCTTGGCCTTCAAGGTTAAGCCACACCTTATTCCACACCTTAATACCATAGCTCAAGTAAGTATTGGAAGAGTACTTGAGTGGAGGATACATTGCTTAATATTTTTAGGAGGAAAAAAATTTAATTGCTCTATAGATTATAAATTAAGATGTGCTTAGTGGCATTTTGCCAGTACTTATCCAAGAGTATGTACATCTTTTTTTTTTAACAGGAAACTTTTTTTTATTTGTTTATTTTGATTTATCAACAATTACTTCCATGAGCTTTTGAGTTTTAAATTTTTCTCCCCCTCTCTACCCACCTCCCTCCCCAAGACTATGCACAATCTGATATAGGCTATACATATATATTCCTATTAAACGTTTTCACATTGGTGATGTTGCAAGGAAGAATTAGAACCAATAGGAGGAACCACAAGAAAGAGACAACAAAACAAAACAGAAGAACAAAGAGAGCAAATAGTATGCTTTGATCTGCATTCAAACTCCATAGTTCTTTCTTTGGATATGGATAGCATTTTCCATCATGAGGCCTTTGGAGATGTCTTAGATCCTTTTCTCGGCATTGCTGAGAAGGGCTAAGTCTGTCAGTGTTAGTCATGGCACAACGTGGTTGTTACTGTGTATAATGTTTCCTGGTTCTGCCTACTTCACTCAGCATCAGTCCTTATAAACAAACTTTTAAACAGCAATAGTATGTACCCTTTAAGAGAGGCCCTGTCTAATGCATCTCATTTGTGATGAGACTTTGAATAACTATCTTGAACATAGAGGCCACTCAAATGTTTTTTGTTTTTAATTTTATTTAATTCATGAAGTTTAATCGAATGAATAAAAAAGCCCTTGTTAAATGTACTTTGTGCCAGGCACCTGAATCTTGAAGAAGAACCTGTTAGGGGTTTCTGTAGTCTAGGAGAAGCACTAACATGTTCTTTTGATTTCAAATTCCCATCTTGGAACAGAATGAAGAGGCTTTGAAAAAATGTGCTCAAGACTACTTAACTCGAGTCAAGCAAGAGGAGCAGCGATATCAAGCCTTGAAACTCCATGCAGAAGAAAAACTAGACAAGTAAGTCTATCATCATGACTTTTGCTCGTCTAGGATGTTATGGGAAAGGTGGATAGGAGCAAGAATGTTCTGCAGCCAAGGGGTTTTAAGTTGAGAATTCTTTTTCCCCATCAGCATAACTATGGTCCTGGGTATAATCTCCTTCCCTATTGAACTTGGTAAATATCTCCTTTTCATAAAGTCTGTGTCTGGCCACATGGGTGTGAGGTGAGTTCTGAAAAGCGTGACTTCGAGCATGACTAAGCCTTTCTGCTGTTCTCCCCATGCCTGTTGCTTTATGCAGAATCAGCATTACAGTGAGGAAGCTGTACATTAATTGCTTTTTTTTTTATAATTCATTTTCCCCTTGGCTCAGAATGTCATTTCAGGGACACTTTCTTCCTGTGTGATTTTTGGATTGGCCACAGCTTTTAACACTAAGCTTTAAGTCCTCAGGGAAATTGGGAAGACATACTGGAATTCACCAAGCAGAGGGGGTCTTTAGGACGAGTTTTGGTGTTCCCTGTCTGTCCTCATCAGGCACGTGGTAGGGAAGGGTCCCTATCCTGTGAGTGCCCACTGCTGATGCAGTGGCACTTTAACTGTCCCATTGCCTAATTCTTGTGCCTTTTATCTCTTTTCATTCAATTTCCACACCATAGAGCCAACGAAGAGATTGCTCAGGTTCGGACAAAAGCCAAAGCTGAGAGTGCAGCTCTCCATGCTGGCCTCAGGAAAGAACAGATGAAAGTGGAGTCTCTAGAAAGAGCCCTTCAGCAGAAGGTAATAGTTTTTTCATTTGGATTATTGGGAGACAGAGGGGCTGGGAGGAGCTTCTGTAGGTCCCCTAGCAATTTAGTATACCCTGAGTCTAGACAGCAAAGCCTGATGACCTATTATCAGAGTAATATTTTTAAATACATAGTATTATAAAGAAAATTAATAAGTATATGGAAATATGGTTATTTTCAAATGAAGCTAAGAATCCTTGCTCTAGAAGAAAGAGATCAGTCATAATGTTAAGATGCCCTTTTCCTTGGTCACCTTGTTTCAGTGACATCACTACTTCAGGAACCTGAGACTTCTTCAGTATGTATTTACTAATTCTATGTTACTCTTCTATATTATTACCAATGAAAGTCACAGTCCCATTCCCCCCGTTACCCTTCCCAAACCTCAAGCCATAATAAATAGTTTTCATGAATTTCTGTAGAAAGAAGAAAACCAAGTGCATGGTGGTCAGTGCACTAGTAACGAGCTTCTCTTGATCCTAATTGAGCTGGTCCTTGGGTGGTGGAAGCTCCATCATTATCCCATTCTTGGGACTTTTCCCACGTGATTTGTCAAACCTTGTTATAGTCTTTGAGGCCCTGGGGTCACCTTCACATCAGGACAACATCAGTGGAAGATGTCAACATTAAGCTTTAGGGGGGAAAATGAAGAGGCTATGCCTATTTTCTCTAAATGAAAATATCTATGATCACCTAATAATCTGGGAGGCCTCCGCCTCACTGGAAGCCCTGCAGAAGTGGGCTCCTGCTGACTCCACCATCCATTTGGGTCAGTTCCATGATGCCAGCTTTCTAGTGCCACCTAGCCATGTAACAACCACTACAGCTGTCTCACCTCTTCTGAATTAACTCAGAAAAGAGAGAGGGAACTCTAGTTGTTCAGCAGTCTAAAACAAACCTGTATAAATCCTTTGCTGTATCTGTTGCTGTGCCCAGTTTTAGAGGGAGATAGGAAATTCAGATTCAGCTTTATCCCTGTCCTCATGGAGTGTACAAGGGGATAATGATTGCTCTGATAGATTATTTCACATAGAAAGTGCATGAGACAGATAGAGCATAAAGTGCTTTGTTAGACATGAATGGGAAGGTCATCACCAGCAGGAGAGGACTCATCTTAGAATCAGCCCGTAGGGGATGTCTAGTGATTCACTGAGAATGGGAGGTGCATTTGGGGTTTAGGAAACAGTCTGAGGTAGAGAGAGGTACCAAGTATGAGGCACTTTTGTCAATTAGTGCAGTTAAGGATGAGAGTCATTAGTAGCATTCAACCAAATCCCAGTGCAAGGTCACTAACACCCCCCCCCCCCCGTAATGTCCCTTGGCCAGTCCCTCACAGCACTGCCCTTTGTGACATCATCTCACCCAACCATCATGGTGCTTTATAATTTCCTAAAAAGGCCTCCTTCCTGCCCTCCTCTCCGTGTTGCCCTGGTCATATTCTCATTCATAGATGAATAACTCAATTCAGCCAGTGGTGAGATGTGCTCAATCCTTGGGATAGGAAAGCGAGGTATATTCACTAGAGTTCTGTGATTACTGAATACAGCCAGGGATGCAAAAAGAGCCAAAAGATCATACTCTGACTCCCATCTTCTCTTTTTCAGAACCAAGAAATTGAAGAACTGACAAAGATCTGTGACGAGCTGATTGCAAAGCTGGGAAAGACTGGCTGTTAGTCCAGCGTCTCCTCCCTCAGCTGCTTCTTTGTGATGCCCAAGTGTTTTTGCCTTATCCAAGAATAATCTCCCCATAGCAGAGAAGGGCACATGCTTACTGCTCCCTGTTCCGCTTTGCTGCAGACTCAACAGCCCCACCCCCACCCCCCAAAAACATAAAAGACAGGACAACCCCCCAGAGGTCTCAGTCCCCTCTTGAGTCTGTTTTCATTTGTTGGTAGTCAGGTTCAGCAAACCAGGAGGCTGGCCGCTAGGTTTGGCTTTCCAGTTTGTGGATTGTTGTGGTCTGTGTTGTTTCCTGAGGTGAACACCTCTGTGTAGCCTCAAATTGTGATTTAGAGTTACCATCTGATTAATTCTTTTCTTTTTCTAAGGTGACATAACTTTCTTTTTGAAGTTGATTTTTATTTGAAGGGAGCATCTAACTTGTTCAAGTCAAGAGAGGTTCAGTTTGGGTTCGATACCTCCTGAGTTAACACCTGGTTGTGCTGAGGGATTTGGAGCTGCTCCCTCTTCTGGGAAACCGCAGAATTAAGTCATGGCTCTAGCAGATGTCCTGGGATGGTCCCACAGTGGGGACGGGCTTCTGTTTTCTTTTGAAGTTGGTTCCTTTCTTTCTCAAAGTTCACACTGAAGAATTCAGGAAGTCAGCAGGAATGAGATGCTCTGTGAAGGAAAGAAGCCCTTGCGTGGTGGTTTCTGTTACCATCCTCCTTTATTGCTGTTTTAGATCAGTGATTTGCCTGGGGTGAGGACAAGCATTTACTCCTTCCAGTGTAGCTGTACTGGTTTGAGTTAGTGCCAGCTTTTCTCAATAGATACACATGGTGCAGACTGGTGACCCTTTTCTGGATATGAAAATGAGATTTTTTTTTAATTTAAAGAAATCAATTACCTTTTCACTTGAACTGTGCAAATAACTCCACCCTTAGAAAAGATTTACGTAATCTTAATCCAGTTAGAAATTGATTACAGTTTCCCTCCACCACCTCCATCTTGGGAGGGAGGGTATAAGAAGGAGAAATTAGGAGAAGCATTCCAGCTTTTTAATATTTTAGAATTGATATAACATTCTTCTCTAGAACCTGGTATGAGATTTTAACACTATAAGGACCAGAATTGAAGAATAACTTGAAGGGCCAAGCCTATGTTTTGCTTTATTTGACACACTTGATTCAAAAAGACTTCCATTACCAGGATTTTTAACAACAAACTTTTTGTTAAAACCAGGGGAGTTAAAAAAAGTTATATATAAAGTGCTCTGAGACTCAGCACCCTTTGTATTACAGTTTGAAGAAAAAAAAACTCTGTAAGGGAAAAATCAGTATTGACAGAATCTCTTTTTGTTGCCTTTTATAGACAGAAAGATCAGCACGCGTTCATCTCGTTGGCTACTGGGTGGTAGTGTTCAGTCCAATGCCAGTGCATTCCCCTCCTCGTGAGCTAAGCCAAATCCATGCAGCCCTTTGGCATCACTTATTTTTGCTTGAACTTATTACCTGCAAGGACTTCATTGTGATCTGTGCAGTATTTTGAATGTGTGTGATTGTCATACTGTAATTTTGATGCTGTTGCATGATCCAACTTTTGCAGTGAACAGTGGTGGCCCTCCATAAATCCAAAATTTGCAGATCTCTTTTCCTGTGAGTTCTTCACTCTTCAGTCACAACTCAGTATTTCTTTGAAAGGTGAGAATCCTATTCTATTAAAATGCAGCTCCCATAGTTGGTGCTTTTGAAAGCCTTTAGTATCTAAACATTTGTGCAGCAACAAGGAAAAATTAAAGGAAAAAATGGAACAGCAAAAGAAAAAATAACTTTGTGTCACTCAATTTAGGACAATCATTTGGACTTTTGAAAGCAGTTATTGGGGCTTAAGGGGATTTTTGCTGCACCTTACAGATACTGAATGGAAAAGTTTCCAGGCAGTGGAGTAATGCGTTGGTTTCTTCTTTGAGCTATGATTCTAAAACCCTATGTGAAAATAATCCAGGCATTAGGAAAAGGGAAAGTTTACAGAACCTTTCTGCTGCTAGCCAACATAGATAGGAAGTGTAGATAGGAAGTGTCCGTGTCTGTTTGTTTGCTCTCAGTCTGTCCTACACATGGAGTGCATGTAGCCGTTTCAGCTGGATCGTGGAGTCACGGTCTCTTAGGAGCCAAAGAGCACTAGTGCTATGTGTTAAATTGATGATGACAATCCCCTTTTGGCCCACAAGTTAGCAGCCAACTTTGGTTGCCATTGTATATAGACCCTAGCAAATGGAGGTGCAGTGTAGGAAATGTGAAAGGGCCCTATTTTCTTAAAGACTAATATTTCAACTGTTGACTAATACTTACTCACCAATGCTCCAATAGCACTGAAAGTTAGCACTTGGTAGGACAAGCTTGTAAGTACCTTAGGCATCTGTCCAATCATGAAATAGCCTGGGCAAAACGAAGTAGGTTGAGTTTGGGAGCATAAAACAACCCTAATGCCCTAATGCCTAGGCTAACAGCCTAGCTCTCGCCTTCAACATAATTGAGAGCTAAGGGAACTATATTCTTGTAAGTATTTGAATGTCCAGTTGAAAAAAAAAAAGTGCTGGGGCCCCTCTACTCTGCCACCTCAGACACAACTTCTGCAGTAGATTTTGGGGGTATTTTGGATAATGCTTGGGAGGTAGGACCAGGACTTTGTTCTTTGGTTCTCAAAAAATAGATGGTTGACTTTGCCAAAGTGTCGCTATTTTTGTCTAAAATTATTTTTGTTGGAGCATCTGATGTCTCATGGTAGGAATTAGCCTTTTTTTTCCATGGAGTCGAGGTTGGACAGTAGCTGTCAGTGATGGTGAATCTTCCAGAGTTTTGCTTTATTTGGAGAAATGCCTTGAAGTCTGGCTGCATGACTGACTCAGCCCCCAAACCCCTTGTTCTGCACAACTCGAGAGATGCATTTCTAGCTCTCTTTAACCCTGGCCCAAATTAGGAAGTTAAGAAACACATGACAGTGAAAAATGATGAAGGTTTTGGAAGCATTCCAGAGTATTACAGAATCCAGTTTTATGTTTGGGTGAGGACTCAGGTTGAATTTTCCCTTATTTCAACCTCGTCTCCTTCCCATCTAGTCCATCCTACTTTTGTCATTCATCCCCCACATTGACATTTAGAAACTATATTCTCAATTATAATGATTTGAGTTCATCCACAAACTCACAATGATGCACAAAGGTAGGCAGGGCTGAATGATTTCCTTAAAGACAGTGTTTCCCATTTGCTTTTAAATACAGTCTTAGTGCTGTTTTAAGCTTTAATGGCTGTGAAATTATATTTAAATATTTTTATAGCTATTAAATAATGTTCAAGCTTTGTGTACTGAAGTTTAAAATGGCACTAAGATTTTTGGGACACACAGTATAAGTAAAATCCCGTAGCAAAATCTAAACCCAAATCTTCAGTTTTGATGAATAGGCCTCATAATTAGAGTGGCTGGCCTTTAGAATCATTGAGGGGAGGGAGGCAGGGAGAACCCCAACACATGTTTTTCTAAATCCATTTCCTCTGTATTTTCACTGTGGTTCACAGGACATGCAAAGTCCTTAAAATAGCTGCAGGTTGCAGTGCCTTTGGCTTCTTGAGGCAGCTCCCACAAGCCCACGGCCTTGCCCAGGATCGTGCCATACATTTGTTTTTCACCTCTCCTTTTTTTTCCTTCTTTTTGTTTCAAAAGAATGACATTTAAAGATTTTGAAGAACCTCTTACCTTCACAGTATTAAGAAAGTTCTCACGACTTTCTCAAACTGACAGCATTACAATTTTGTGTGTGTTTTGTGGATCAAACATTATTCACCTCAGGTAATTACAGGGAGGAGTTTAGAAGGCCTGTCCTATGGGTCCCATTAGTAGGGTTAGAAAGATACACAACAGGGTCTGAAGCTTAATTGTTCCCTTAAAGGTGATAACCATATTTTACCATTCCCTTTGAATACAAGTAAATAACCACATAATACGGCTTCCACATCTGTGAGAAGAGGAATAAACTAGATTTTGCCAGCTGAGCCTCTAGTATGAAAGATGGAGAAATGCAGTGAGCCCCTCCTCTTCTCTAGAGCAGTGTTTTGTCAAATGTGATTTGTCCCCAGATGTTTGAACCAACCTCGAAGAACCTTGCATCCTCTGTGGAGGCCTACTAGTAATCACACACCTAGGAGAATCTACACTAACAGGAAAATCATTCTTAAGTCATGTCGCCATGAGTCTTCAGTCCCTGCATTGGCAGAATGGATACAGGCAGGTTTGTTTGGCATGCTGGTCCTTCGGTTTTTGGTGAAACTCCTCCCTTGGGTTTACTTTCTTGAAACTTCTGTAGGGTCCACTTTGAGAAATACTGTTCTAGACTTGGCAAAGCACTTTTTAGGGGCAGCATTCTTCAGCAGTAGATGAGCCCTCTCTCTGCCTGTAACAATGTCTTAACATATTCATAGCGTATTCATAGGTAGTCATCCAGAGTCAATTCCTTCTTTTTTGTTTTGCCTTATCAGCCTGCACTTAGACTTGAACAAGCAAGATTCCTACTAATGGTTTCTTAGCTATAATATATTTAGTGACTCTTAGTTTCTATTGTTATCTCATGGATACTAAGTGCATGACTTTACACCTGTGGTATTCTATCACCTAAATACAAAGGGAGGCCAGGCATGCAGCCAAGCTGTCTTCATATTTTCGAATAGTTCTTTATTTTTAGAGCTATTAAAGACTGTATTGTCCTCTGCCTAAAGTGGCATCTCAGATCCATTCTAAAGAAGTACTCTGCCAGTCAAATTTTTAAATCAGTTTGACAAACATGTATTAAGTCTATGTTGGTTCTGGGGAAGATCCAAATTTCAGCTAGTTCAGGCCCTGGTGGAGTGCCCAGGCTAATAACTGTAATCTTCTGTATTTACTTGATAACTCAAATGGTCTTGTAGTCATGAGAATTGGAACTCTAAGCCCACCCCCAGGTCTTAACTCAATCTAACCTGGAGTCTTCTTTGTGGTTCCAGATGCCCCTTTTAATTCTCAAAGGTGCCAGTATGTTCCTCAGTGTTGCTGTCAGTACAAGTACATTGCCAATAGATTTCCATATATAGTAACAAATGTGCCAATAAGTGACCACCCTAATTGCACACCTGCTTTCGCTGTGCCCCTGTGACTGCCATACAGTGAGTGATTGATTACCCTCCCATAGGGAGGAGTGAAAGCTGCTTGACTCCTACCAGGATTGCATTGTATATGTAATGATCATCTACATAAATTTTATATGTACAATAATTTCCCTTTTTATATGTCAGGTAAATATTTGTAAGAGTTATACTTACACAAATGGAATTATTATAATAAGTACTAATATATTTTTTTCATGTTTCATTGCCTGAATAAAAACTGTTTATCACTGTTGAGAGTTGTTTCTTTGCTTACAAGTTTTATGTCAGAACATGATAATAGTGATCCTAGTTGTTTTTTTTAAATTAGCTCTATATTCCAGTCCCAATTAGAACATCAAAAGTCACATTTCTGCAAGGCTATGACTTACCAAACACTTTCCTCCCAAATACCCAGAAAGGTAGGTAGTTAAGATAATGTTATTCCTTTTGCGAAATGAAAAGACTGAAATTCACACCTATAAAGAGACTTTGTCCAGGGTCACATGGCTTAAAAAGCCTTGGACTTAAAAAACTTTTATGTTCAGAGCCTAACTCTGAAACTGATTAACTTTGGGGAGTGAATTGACCTCTGTTAAGAGATGGGTCAGCACTTTTAGTTAAAACATTCAATGCTTTTTTTTTGGTATTGGTTTTGGTTTTTTGTGAGGCATTTGGGGTTAAGAGACTTGCCCAGAGTCACACCAGCTAGTAAGTGTTATGTGATGCAGGTCGGATTTGAGCTCAGGTCCTCCTGACTTGAGAACCGGTGCTCTATCCACTGCACCACCCAGCTGCTCCAAAATGTTCAATGTTGAGACAGAATGTGGGGGTTTACTTTGCCCTAACTGAAGAGATTTGCAATGCAGATACATAAGACTTCACTTCTTGGATGCCGAATGGGGTCATCAGAGACAGCATGATGATGGGCATGGTTTTCAGAAATCCACCAAGTCTAGACTCCCATTCCCTGAGGTGGGTGACCAGGAAGCTGCCTCATGGAAGATCAGGGCCTGATCAAGGTGCAGGGACAGCTTTTTTTGGCTTTAAAGAAAATTAATCACCCAGCCAGGCTAATAATGCTGAAGAAGTTGACCTAATCCATGTTATGGAGTTTCCTCTATCACTGCTAGATACTGGTCCTTCCGTGAGTCTCTTGTTCCCCATTTATAAACAGAGAACTAAACTAAGTCTCCTAGTTTCCTTTCAGTTCCACTATTCTGTAAAGAGCCCATCTTCATAAGTCTTTCTGCAAAAGGCCTTTCCCTAACCCTAGTCCCATAGCTGGTACCTTCCCACACAGATCACCTCCCATGTAAACCTTGTTTGTGCATACTTTTTCACCCAATGGACTGTAACCTCCTTGAGAGCAATGTATGTTTTTGGGTTTTTTTGTATCCCCATCACAACACAGTGTTGGCCTATGTAGTAAGCTGTTGCTGGCTTGCTGAGTGACCTACCCTCAGGTTTTGTGTCTCTAAGGTAATGCTCTTTCCCTTCTATCACTGCTTCTCATGAAGTTATTTCTCATAATCAGTTTATGGAATTTTATATTTTGTTGAAAAGGTGCTTCAAAATAAACTATCTTTTGAAAAGGCATCTTGCTGTTATTTGATTATGCTGGTTGAAGACAGTGGCATTTTTCAAGTTTGCAGAAGGACTTTTGCTCTCAACTTCCAGGGAAGTACATGGCATAAATTAATATTTAGGGAAATACTCATACTTTATGAGTGTTCAGAAACTCCCTCATTAACTATCTGGAAAAGACCATTGTCTTCTGGCTACTTCCACCCTCTTCAAAGTTCCGTGTGGGAGGACAAACTAGAGAAATGAGACATTCAAATAAGGATAACACAGGGTGAAGTGTAATCTATGCAAAGTAGAGATCCTGGCAATGTGTCATCAGAAATTTGAGAGGGCAGATGGCCCCAGCAGAAAGGAAGGAAGTGAGGCAGCTAGGTGGTACAGTGAATAGAGCACTGGCTCTGAAGTGAGGAGGACCTGAGTTCAAATCCGGCCTCAGACCAAACACTCGACACTTACTAGGTGTGTGACCCTGGGCAAGTCACTTAACCCCAATTGCCTAAAAAAAGAAATACATTTTAAAGAAAGAAAGGAAGGAAGGAAGGATGTTGAGGTGGCAAGAGTAGGTGTCATCTAGGTTTTAGGGATGACACAAGGCAAAGCAGAGGTGAGAGGACAAGTGATAATCTGAACTTAATGTGGGTGAAGGGAAGTTCTAAGCAATTAGCCTGAACCCAGACTGTGAAGAAACTGGAGAGTTGGAAAAAGGAATTTTGAGATGGGGAAACAGGTTCAGAGTTTGAATCACAGGCTTAAATAGTAAACTATACAGCAAGTGTGTATTAAAAAACTTACATTATGCTAGGCACTAGAGGTACAAAGTGGACCAGTCTTTAGGAGCTTATATGGGGTAGACAGGGAGATGAACATGTACATTAGTAAGGGGGTTGTCAGGAAAGCCTTTATACGAAGCAGGACATTGTGCTTAATCTGAACCTTAGAGGAAGCTAGGGATTCTAAATGGTAGAGGTAAGGACAGCATGTGTTCCAAGGCATGGGAGACAGCGCAAATCTGTGGATACAGGAGATGGTGTCTAAATATTGCAAGAAGACTAATTTGGCTGCTGTATGCTCAGTGGATAAAGCACTGGGCCTAGAGTCAGGAAAACTTCAGTTCAGATCCAGCCTCAGACACTCACTTGCTATGTGAACCCAGGCAAGTCACTTAACCTCTGCCTCAGTCTACTGGAGAAGGAAATGATAAACCACTCCAGTTTCTTTGCCAGAAAAACCCCAAATGGAGTCACAAAGAGTTGTACGTGACTGAAAAACAAGAAGTTTGGCTGAACTGTGGCATGTGTGAAGGGAAATGATGTGTATTCAGTTTAGAAAGATTGGAGCCAGATTGTAAAGGGCTTTAAATGCCAAACAATTTATATTTGATTCTAGAGGTAACAGAATCTTTCGAGCCCACCCTATCCCCAACAGCCTTCTGATGCTTGCAACACCTACAGCCCTCCAGCCTCTTCTGATAGGTGAGTTCCTTCTGAGAACCTCCATTTGAAGGAATGCCCACTCCAGCCATGGTCACTAGCCTGGCTCAGCTCATAGGTTTTATGGGTTGTTTCCCCCGTTAGGATGGAAGCTTCTTGAGGGGAAGAACTATCTTTTTCACCTGTATCTATGTCCTCAATGTTTAGTGAAGTGCATGGCATATAGTAATTACTTAATAAATGCTTCATCTCTATGATACGGAAAGAGATAAAGTTAGAACATTTTGCTTTAGGAAATGCTAGTACTCTGGGAGCAGGACTTTGACTTTCCCGACTCCAATGTAGTGTTCTTTCCACTAACCTTAATTAATTTAAAAATACTGATTTGGAATGTTTCTGTTGGAACACTTGAGCTGAAATTTACCTTGGCATAGCTATAAAGAAACAGGCTTCATACATGGACATCACCAGGTGGCCAATACAGAAATCAGATTGATTATATACTTTGCCTATTGGCATGCTAATAAGATGTACCTAAACCCCAGTCCCAGTGCTGCCTGATCATTTGTAGAGAAGAGATTAAGTTCATTCAGAACCATTAAGATGGTTGACTCTTGGAGCAGCTCAGTGGATGGACCAGGGGCCTGGAGTCAGGAAGATCTTCATTCAAATCTGGCCTCAGACATTTACAAGCTGTCTGACCCTGGGCTAGTCACTTAACCCTGTTTGTCTCTCTTTCCTCATTTGTAAAAAGCTGGAGAAGGAAATGGCAAACCATTCCAGTATCTTTGCCAAGAAAACCCTAAATGAGGTCACAAAGAGTGGGATACAACTAAATACCAAGCAAATGTATGCTCAGGTGGGAGGTATTTGCTGGCATATTGAGTACAGCACTTTAACAGCATCATCTTTTAGGTTTTTAAATAGCTGGAATTCCATCACCTCCACTAGCTTTGTTGTTTGTGATGCTTCCTAAGGCCCACTTGACTTTGCATACTAGGATGTCTGGCTCTTGATCAGTAATCATGCCATGGTTATCTATGATGCTAACAACTTTCTTGTATAGTTCTTCTGTATATTCTTGCCACCTGTACTTAAACCGTTCTATTTCTGAGAAGTCCCTACTATTTTTGTCTTTTATCGTGCCCATTTTTGCATGAAACTTTACCTTGATATCTCTAATTTTCTTGAAGAGCTCTCCTGTCTTTCCCATTCTATTGTTTTCTTCTATTTCTTTGCATTGCTCAGGTAAGAAAACCTTATCTCTCCTTGTGTTTCTCTGGAACTCTGCATTCAGTTGGGTAGATCTTTCCCTTTCACCTTTCCCTTTCCTTCTTTCCTCACTATTTGTAAAGCCTCATCAGAAAGCCATTTTGCTTTCTTGTTCTCCTTTTTCTATGGAGTGTTTTTTGTTGCTGCCTTCTGTACAATATTGCAAACCTCTGTGCATAGTTCTTCAGGCAATCTATCTACCAGAGCTAATCCCTTGAATCTATTCATCACCTGGAAATCTATTCATATTCATAAGGGATACTATTTAGGTCGTGCCTATACAGTCTGATGGTTTTCCCTCCTTCCTTCAATTTAAGTCTGAATTTTGCAATAAGAAGCTCATAATCTGATCCACAGTCAGCTCTAGGTCTTGTTTTAGCTGACTGTGTAGAGCTTTTGCACCTTTGGCTGCAAAGTATATAATCAATCTGATTTCTGTATTGGCCATCTGGTGATGTCCATGTGTAGAGTCACCTTTTGGGTTCTTGAAAAGAAGATTTAGAGGTACATAATGGCCACCTTCAAATATGTGGACTATCATACGGAAGAAAGAAGTTCTTTGATCTGCTTGGCCCCAAAAGGCAGAACTAGAAACAATGGGAGAACAGGAAGTGATCTCTCAGCTTTTAAGATTATGACCATCCAATTTTGGTTTTCCTCTTTTGTTTTTCTAGTTTTTTGTTTAAATCTATAATTTTACCATAGTGAGAACTCTTGTGATATGGAAACTGTTCTCCACAATCAGACAGAGTTTTTAGAATGGCCTTGATTACAGAGAGGGACTTGGGGTGCTTTTTGGTGCAAATTCCAGCCCTGCCACTTGGTAGCTATGTTATCTTGGACAAAATGGCTTCATCTCTCTGGCCTCATTTTCCTCATCTGTAAAAACAAGGCGGGGGTGGTGTGTGTGGAGTAGATGATCTCTGATATTCTTTCCCATAGGTGTCCAAGCAGAACCTGAACTCAG